GGCTCAACGTTTAAGCAGTCTTTATTGATTTGTTTTTCAAATTTTTGTTCTCATATATTTTTGGTTGCTTTGTGTTGATTTACGCTTCCTTACGATTATTATAGTTTTTGGAGTTCTTGTTAATATGCATCTCATTTTGCTTCTTTCTCAAATTTAGTAGCTGAATGTAATTTTCTAATCATTCAATCTATTTGTAGTTGTTTTGTGATTTGCACATCAATAGTTAATTTGTTAAGTTTATGATATTCAAATTGCAACGAACCTGATTTTACTTCTTCCTATTGTCCATATCTAGTTTGCCAGTCTGAGTTCTTTGATAATAATTTGCCTCTTGGCATAAATATTTTCTTGCGAACAAATGGAAGAATATCCGAAAACACCTGCGCTAGAAAACGGGATTGAAAATCGTCTCGTTGTCACCCCACATGTTACTTCAAGTGTATGAGAACTTACCTTCATAGTTATCTTTTACATATATTTTTGGTTGTATCTTGTGGATTGGAAATTATTGATTTCTCTATTGTGCTCCGTCCCACATGAATTGCTTTGTAATGTCCACAGGTTCCCATCGAGGATGTTGCTTCACCTGTAGAGCTTGCAAAGGCTTACATGGGGAGCAGACCTTCCAAGGTTTCCTCATCAATGTTAGGTGTGCAAAATCATGTACTAAGGGAGGATCCAACTCTTCTAAAATGTGAAAACTTTCCTCCTAAATCCCCTATTATGTCAATTGTGCCAAAGGCTACTAGACATGCTGCGGTTCATGAAAATAGTTTTGTGACCGCAAGATCTCGTGGCAGATCTGCAATATATATTATGGCTCGAACACCATATGCCAGAATATACCCAGCCTCCACACTCAAGGTTTGCCTTTTCCTGAATACCATTTTGGATCATAATGTTTCTAGGATCAAAATTTTTATGTGGTTTCTCTAATTTTATAGGGTGGGGGGCTTGCTGTTGAAGGTGAGCCGTCATCTTCAACTCAGTCTGCATTGGATCAAGACATGCTTTCTGAACCTAATAAAGGGGTACAAGTACTTGCTAGTTATAAGTCGTGTCTTTTCAATGTATATTTTAGATATGTTACTAGATTTTGTGTTTTGCTTTTCTCTTTTTTGCAGACATTAAAGCGTAGAAGTTCAGCATTGGATAATGGTGTAGGATCTTTTGGTCCTATCCGCCAAATCCGTCACAAGTCTAATCTTCTCTATTCTAAAGGCTCAAGCTTACCTTTTTCTGGTAGCTCTCTATCTGTTGCTAGAAGTGGAGTGGATATTTATGCTGCTCAGCAACCTTCATCTTCCATGCAGAAGCCTCTTGTACTGGATGAAGTCAAGCGTAGCCATACAAAATTGTCAGAAGAAAATGTGGACAATACTATACCTAGTATGAGCTATTCCCCTTTACCCTCAAAATCGAGTGAGATGACTTCCAAAATACTTCACCAACTTGATAATTTGGTTTCTCCTAATGAAAAATCATCCGAATTAAGGTTACCAATTGTCAATGATAACTCACCAACAAAGTTGTCACCTTCCATGTTACAAGGACAGGCTCTTCGAAGCATGGAAATGGTAGATTCGTCAAAATTGCTGGACAATGTACAAGGTGATAAATTAAATGGCACATTTGGAAATTTGTCTGCTAGTGCTCAGAATCAGAAGTTAACTTCACAAAGAAATATGGTTGAAAATGGTCAATTGAAGCTTGTTGCTCCTTCTGATGGATTAGTTCCAGTCAAAATTGCTACGGATGCTACAAAACCAATGAATCAAGTCCTGTCTAGTGCAAAATCTGTGGATTCTTTTATGATAAAATCTGTTTCTTACCCTCCAAAAAGGAATAAGGCATTCCATATGAGTGCACATGAGGTATGATTTGTATGATATCTAGTTGACTGTTTTTGTATAGTTATGTCGCTTTTTTTTTTTTTAATATTTAGTATGTGGCATTATGTTAGTTGGTTTACATTAGCTTTGTGGGAATAACTGGTGTTCCTCACCTTGTAGGCTTGTTGCTTACAGCTATTAGTTGCTTCCTTCCATTTACTCACTAGTAATGACGAGTAAAGCAATTGACAATAGATCTTAATTTGGTAGTTGTATTTATATTTTATTTGATTCCAAACAGAATAAAATGTGAGTTGAGTTTTCAAATAAAAGATAGTGGTCAACCTCAGGTCATGTTTATTCACTATTCTTTGTATCTTTCTACTTATTTAAGGATTGTTTGGATGTGGATGATGATGCTCATCCTAAGTAATGACGAGTAAAGCAATTGACAATAGATCTTAATTTGGTAGTTGTATTTATATTTTATTTGATTCCAAACAGAATAAAATGTGAGTTGAGTTTTCAAATGAAAGATAGTGTTCAACCTCAGGTCATGTTTATTCACTATTCTTTGTATCTTTCTACTTATTTAAGGATTGTTTGGACGTGGATGATGATGCTCATCCTAATGGAGCTTTCTCCTCTTTTTCTCCTGTTGAGAAAGAAATAACCTTCTCCACTACCATGGCCGAGAAAATTACCTCTGGTACGGAAACCATTGCACAGGAGAATTCCTCAGCATTATCTGTAGTGATGCCATCCAAAAGTTTTACAAAAGATGGTGAAGCTCGTGTTGGGACTGCTGATGGGTCTAGGGCTGTTGAGAGGGTTGATGTATCAACCTCTAAAGCATCATTTATTCCTGATCCAACCTTTAAGCCAGCTGCAGTTACAGCGGCTATACAAACAAGTTTTGGTTCCAACAAGCCGGCTTCATCAAATGGGTCAATTACTAATCCTCCCCTATTTAATGTTGGGAACAAGGTGGTTTGGTCAACAAAGTCAACAGCTACTGCAGCTCCATCAAAGGAGATAACTAAATCAGGTTCGATATTTGGTATGGAAAAGGTTGTTTTATCAAAGGAGCCTGGTGCTGATGCTCCATTAGTGAACTTTGGCACCAATGGAAATGTTTTTAAGGTACCACCAATGCCATTTACTGCTTCATCATCAGTTGGTGGTGAGTCTGCTTCTCTGAAATTTGGTGCTTCTTCTGAATCAAAGCTGGGAAGCTCAATCAGGTAAGTATATGTGATTTATTGCGTGCTTTTGAAAAACCTCTCACAACACAGTTCTTTACACACAGGGTTTCACAACACAATTCTTTACACATATAGGGTATTTTTTCTAGAGGTTTGTGTCTGTTCTACCTTTTCTATATTTTACTTTAATGTAATTTCTGTCAGACGACTTTTGATAAGTGATAATACATTTTGGTGACTGTGGGGATGGCTTTCTATTCGATGAGAAAATATTCTAGCCAATTTATTGGAATGATTTGATTTTTCTTGAACTAATATGATTTGGGATTTTTTTTTTTTTACTTTTTGCAGTTAAACGGGAACATCTCTGAATGATAAGCTCATTGGAAGTATATTTTTCCTTTTTAATTATTAACTTTTCTACCATTCCATGTGTTTTGCTTATGTAACACCCCGTGTATACCAGATTTGTTAAACATGTCATCGTATTAAGTCACGCTTAATTAAATATGCGGAATATCTTTTTCTTTTCAATTATGACGTCATTATCATAAGCCAAGTTGAATTACTTAATTCATTTCAAAACACTGCCTGTATGTAAATTGCAATTAGACAGCTAACTGAAATACCTCAATATATAAATAACTGTGAGTATCTAAAATCACGGAACTACAACACGTAGCCCGGACATAATCCTGATACATTATTACAACTCAATTCTAAACTAAGACATAGTCAATCAATGTGGTATGGACATTCCTCGTACTCACCAAATAAGGCAACAAAGTCAAACATAGTCTCAACAACAGCAACATAATAATAACAAGCTAATAGCATATCATCAGCAGATATAATCCAGCATCCAAACATATCATATAAACAGCAATATCAGCTAAGCTCCGGCCTCCTGCTGCTAGAGGTCTCCACCCCTGGGTTACCTGAACCTGAAATAAGCGCCCCAAACGTGGGGTGAGATCTCTAAACAGAAATCTCAGTAAGGCAAGGATCTTCCACCCCAAGCTCACTTACATGTGCAATATAAGTTCAAAAGCAGTTTAACAATATAAGTTTCAAAATCAGTGCAATGCAGCAGATAATCATGTCATGTGTGTTATAGCTATTCTACTAATCAAAGAAGTGCAATAATACGTCTATTACCCTCACAGTACACGCCCATGTTGTATCCGCCCATAGGACCACCCCATGGCGTCTTGTCTAGGCGAAACACCACATACATATCATAAGGAAATTGCACTTAACAGCTCAATAGCATTTCAATAAAACAGTACATGAAAACACATCATGCATATAATCATCCACCCATGGGATGTAACATCCCCGTCTCGAGCCGGTTCAATTAACATGCATATGATACAAACAGAAATAGCGAAAGACTTAACTTACAAAAATGCGAGCTAATTTTTTTTTTTCTAGATTAATTCTTATTTGGCGAAGACGAAAATCAGGCAGAGTAACCTCTGTAAATCGGAAAACTGGGGATTTTTGAATCCCACTCTCAAGAGTTCCTGATAGACAGTTTATACAGCATATAAATTCAGAAGTACCAGACATCCAAATATAATCATATACCCATCCATGGGCGCATGCATAACTTGGCTCCGTGCCACTAAATCTAACAGCATGCAATCCAATATGTAAACATAAACTGAATACTGCATAATCATATAACGTGCCTGAATACCCAAATGTACATGCATCAAAACTGACAGACATGTACAAAACATAGACAGGCCATATACAAAATGAAGGATTCAACATCATGATCCACAAAATACTGAATAACATAAATACACTCCAAAATAGTAGTAGCCTACAACTACTCAAAATCTGGTTCGTCAAAACGCCTCAGCCACGGGTCGCGTCCCTGCCTAGTGAGGGCTCACCGGGAAACTGAGAACCTGAAATGATGTCCCCCAAAGAGGGGTGAGATAACAATCTCAATAAGCTCCAGGTTTATAGAGAATTCTCCATACCCCTGGCTCACTCCTTCATGAAAGTTAGATACAGAGTATAATGCACATATACAAATATCATAACAGAACAAAGCATATATCCATATCATATCAGAGGTGTGCGCCGTCATTCCCAAGGGAGGACCCCAAGCGGAAATTAACGCACGTGTTCCCAAGGGAGGACCCCAAGCGGAAATTAACGCACGTGTTCCCAAGGGAGGACCCCAAGCGGAACCAGAACATGTTAGAGGCGTACATCGTCAATCTCAGGGAAACCCCAAGAAGACATCAGTGTACCATACAATCAATACAGAAATCATATCAGAAAAAGTCATATCATGTTATCAAATAACTCTATATGAATGCATCTATACAAAGCATAAAAAACAATCATACCATCCAACCACAGTTCACTAACTATGGTGGAGCACTCGAGCATGAAAAGACTCCTTAAACACAAAGCTTACGAAACTTACAACTTATAAACTTATCATTTTTGGGCCTATTTTGACTTGTATGACATATATTGGACTTACTTATTCTTATTTCATCAATTATTTATTTCCTGGACTCTAACGATTGCTTAAACAACAGTACAAAATACCCGGTAGAAAACACTATTCCCGAGATTTTCACGGAAAGTTCCAAGCTATACACTTTTTCGTTCTGAACTCATATTTGGCGTCAGAATCATCAAATTATGTTTCTAAAATCATTTAGCTCATTTAAGCTCTACCGGTTAATTCTCAAAACTGCAAATTATCCAGCAGAACGCACTGTTCATAACCTAGTCATGATTACAGTCAAAATACTCGAAATCAAGCTCTGAATCTAATTATGGCATTTAAATCCTTAAGTTAAACCTCAAATTAAGATTTACAAGTTAGGGTCATTATATGGGACATGGTGGAACAAACAATGGCTAAGCCGAGGACACGAAAGCTTACCTTGCAAGCTAGCTATCCAAGCCAAGAGTCCACACAAGCTCAAAGCTCGAACACAGCAGAATCACAATCTGTTTTGGACCAGCAATCATATCAATATTCACATACAACAAGCATACGACATAAAGACAACGACTTTCCTTTACGTTTCATGTCTTTAGGCTTCTCACAAAGCCACAAGCCCTTAATCACTTTGATTCTGACTTAGATTAATTATTACAGAAGTCCACATAAGCCAATCATGGGTCTATAAACCCAAAATGACATTCTGTATGAACAGTACTGCTACTGTTCCGAAATTTCCAGAATATCCGGATATTTGTCAGGGACATATCTGGATATCCCATATCCGGATATGCATATCCGGATATCCATATTCGGATATCACAAGACCCCATATCCGGATATCCATATCTGGATATTTCGCGACAGAATGCAGTTTCTGCATTTCGCGAGATATCACTTCAAAGGTTCGGTTTTTAATCCATTAAAACGTCCAAACATGCATTTTTACTCTCTTTTACGTTCATATACAGGTTGGTTACTTGTTTAACTCATTAACATGCCAAGACTAAACCTTTAAACAAAAAAACTCATGATCAAGGTTAGGGACATACCCAAGACTCTCAAAACAGAACAAGGGAGGCTCTTGGAGCTCACTATGCAGCTCCTAAAGTGCTGACTACCAAGTGCACGAAAATGAGCTTCAAGATGGCTCCTTTCTTCATAAAGATTGCTTCTTGGAGCAACAACACTCAAGGAAATGGTTCCCACCACTCCTACCAAAGAACTCAGCCCTCACACTTCCAACACAGAGGCCAAACTCAGAAAAGGAAGCACTCAACACCCTCACAAGACCAACTCTCACTCAACAATGGTATTTAGGTGAAGGTTTCATGAAGAAAGGTGGCTCCTAGGCTCACAAATGAAGAGAGGAGAAGGTGGAAAGGAGAGGGCAGCAGCTGAAGTTCAGAAAATATTCACGTAGGAGGCACCAAATAACCTAGGATCATGTGCCCTTATCTATACATAGCCACTTAAGTTTTAATCGCATTGTATTAGCGCTAGTAGCTACGCTTATCATTTTAATCCCAAACTCGAGATTATGAACCTACTCATTTTTCTAAGATTTATCATATTTTTATCTTATTTTTCGCAGCACCTTTCCGGTACGCGCTTTTACATAGCCAGTATCAGTTCTGGCACCAGTTCTCATTATTTTAACTTGAAACTTGAAATCACAGTCATATATATTATTCTAGGAATATTCATGCACTTATTAGAATTTTCCGGGATACTTCATCGGTACGCATTTATACCGAGTAGGAGAACCGGTATCTGCACTTTTCGTCAGAAAAGCGACTTTCAACATTATTAATTACTTACCAATATTATTTAAGTCTTCTCATAATTATTAGGGTCAATTATGAAATTATTTTCTAATTTCACACAATTAAATAATTAATTTCCTTATTAACGGTGCAGGTTCTTACAGCTTACATATGCTTTTTACCTGGGATGCACCCTTTTACTGAACCATATATTAATTGAATTTACCATCCTGTATTTTATTGTTATCTGGAATTTTTGGTTGTGTACTTTCATTTTCATAATGACGCTTGATAATTAAAACATACATTTTTTCATTCTCCTTTTGCGATTTGACTATCTAATTTATGTGGTGTCATAATTATGTTTTTCTTTTTTTTATTGCACTGCACAATTAAAATTGAACAGAAATATCTTGTAACCTATATTAATGTTTCATGTACTGGATTGTTCCCTTCATCTGCAGCTCAACTACTGTTGCTGGTGCAACTAATTCTATGGCAAAAGTTCGTGAATCTGATATCAATGATACTAAGACTAAAACAGATACTGGATTTTCTGTCAGGGCATCAGAACTAGCCGTTTCATCTGCAGCACCCACGAGTGTATCCACTTTTGGACACAGTTCAAGTCAAAATAATGGGTATCTTGCTTCAAACCCTTCATTTTCTTCTTCCATTCCATCTCTTGTATCAAATAATTTTACCAGTCAGAATATGTTCAGTAACTCATGCCTTACCGCAAGCTGCGGCACTAGTGTGACTGCGGCTTCCACTGGCACTAGCATGACAGCTATCACTCCTGCCATAATTGCATTAAATAATAGCAGTTCCTCCCCCTCATTGGTGGCATCTTCATCTTCATTTTCAACAACTTCCTTTTCCAAATTTGGATCCTCTGCTGCTCCATCAACAGGTTTGCCTGCATCATCTTCTGGCTCAGAACCACTGGAAACCAAGAGCAAGCTTGATGCAGGAAATGGTAATCTTAGCAGCACTGCCTTCAGTAGCTCGTCTGCTGCTGTTGGAAGCACAGGGAGTGGTATTTTTGGGTCCAGCTCTTCGACAATGACAACTGTAAATAGCCAGTCTCAGTGTTCTGTTAATGGTGCTAGCAGTGGTTCTGTGCTTGGTGCCAGTCCTTTCCAGTTTGCTAGTCAACAGAATATTGCTCCACAGAACCCTTCTCCATTTCAGGCTTCTGGTAGTCATGAATTTAATGCGGGAGGTGGGAGTTTCTCATTGGGCTCAGGTGGTGGTGACAAGTCCAATCGAAATTTTTTGTGAGTTAAACATAAGCAGCGTAAGAAGTAAGACTCTTGTTTATGGAAAGGGTTACATTCTATCACTGCTGCAGGCTGCACTTCAACAGTGCAAGAAATAAATAAGCTCTGAAAAGTGATTGCTGGATATTGCTGTTCACTTATCAAGTTGGACAAGTGGTGCTATTGCTAATATGCATATATGAAAGCTTGTCTCTTCTTTCGCCTTCCATATTATAGAATACAAGGTTTAGTTTCCCCAATTTTGTATTAGTATGATATGAACATTAAGGTGCTATACTTGTAATGGTTTTAGGTCAGTGTTCAAGATCTGAGTTGTGATGTTCACATAGATGGATGTATCCTACTTGTAACCCAAGCAGAATTAGGTATGAATTTATAGCAGTGTTTTAAACCCGGCCCGGGCATCGATCCGGTCGGGGTACTGGGTCATCGGGTCACTGGTCGGACCGGTGGATTACTGGTCGGACCGGTTGACCCGGATATATATAGATATATATAAAAAATATAATTATGAACATATAAATTCAATTATATTCTTCATATCTAAAATGAATTAATCAAGATTCATTAAATAAGCTAAAAAACATAAAGCATACATAAATAAAAATACATGCTATTACTATGTCAATTTAAATTGCAACTCAAAATCCTCATAAACATACCTCTCAATGACATTGAACTCATATTTTTCAAATTCAATTACATTAAAAATGACATATGTCACAATCTCTTAATTTATTATTCCACAAATTGCTTCAGTATTGGAAGCTGAAATTTGAGGTCATTGTAGAAGAGTATACTAGCAAATAAGATTACAAAAAAAATTTAAAATGAGTTCTATATTTTTTTTGACAAAAACAATTTTGGTCTTTTTTAATGCATGACCCGACCGGGTCACTGGGTCGCCGGGTTACTGGGTTTAGTCGGTTTTGTCCGGGTTTTGACCTAATTTGACCGGATCGATGCATGACCGGTCCAATGCTTGACTCGAACCGGTCCGATCACCGGGTCACCGGGTTCCGGGTTGACCCGGTCGGGTCGGGCCGGGTTTTACAACACTGATTTATAGTATAGCTGGTTGTAACCTTACTGTTCCAGTGAGCAATCTGTGAAATGATTATTACCGATAGGCCTTCTGTTTCCTGTTTTGACGTATATTTTAAGGGTTTTATTAATCTGATATTAAAGGAGATAAGTTATCTCATGTCATATAAATAAATTTGTGGACTCCACCACCTAAAAAATAAAAAGAAAAAAGGTGACACGATGTGTAGAAAATTTTTTTATCACATATTTTTTTTCATATTTTAATACTAATTTTTCTTTACAGACGGAAACAATATTTTTTGTTATAGCTTTATCTAGAACCAAGGGGAACCGAGGACCATACTTAAAGCCAGTTTAATGCGGATTTGATTTTAATCAATTGGTGAAAGATTTTTATATTGTGCATTCTTATGTTACCATATCATGACAAAAAAAAAAATATTCTTTTGCTATATCATTTCATAAGTTTGACTGTGGTAACTACCTTTAACAGTCATACTAATGATATGTGAATAGTGTGCAAAACCATTAATGAAGGTCTACGAAAAAAAAGTTGATTTTTTTTTTATTTTTAATAATAATTTTAAAGATATCATATCATTTTATTTATTTTAAAGATTTATGCCAGCAAACTGTAGCGCGACTATTTAAAAATATAGTTTAGTCAGATGAAGCAGACAGTAATGGAGCAACAAAAGGGATGCAATCCCCTTTTCTACTTGCACGTTAAGAATATGCAATGCATAACACAAATTTCAGTCATACATAAAAGACGGTTCTTTCTTCGGGGAAGATTTGTTAGCATATGAGAGGGATATCTGATTCTCACTCCAAGTGATAGAGGGTGATGGGGTAGGATTAAGTGTTGTTATATACAGCACTGTTGTTGTAAACACGACCAGGGGGCAATGGAACCCTTACCTCACTTCCTTGACTTCTCCCACTTGATAAACACTTGGTTTGTTCTCCATCATGTTTATACTCAGTACCACCACCAAACCTACTAATTGATTCTCCTGCAGTGAATGTTACATAGCCATGGACATCTGGCACCTTCATATTGGGGCAGTGTTTTCTTTTACCTTCATGATACTGATTCAATCTTGTCTGTAATTCCTTACTGAGAAACTCTTCTCTCCGGGTTGCTTGTTGAGCTCTGAGTGAAGATAACTTCTCCCTGTACTCTCTGTCTATCTCAAGTATTCTCTGGCACAACAATATGTATTCAGTTTGAAATTATCAGATAATATACCAACAGAATCTTTCCAACAATCATAATAACAAAGCTTGAATTGGGTTGATAGTAACTTATTTGTATCTGATGAAACCAATGTTGATTTCATCAACTGATGGTATAAACCATAAACATGACAATCTTTTCACCAAAGCTCTAAAGCTTCTTCCTCTTATCTTTCTTTATTTGGGATTAAAAAAATGGTAAAAAGCATTTTAACTTCTTTGTTCCTTGAAGCATAACGGCCTGGCCACTAAAATATATAATCAAGTCATAGGCTCTGTTTCCCAACGCTAAAACATTCTTATTTTTCAACTCTTTGATCCCAATTTTGTCCATATTGAATTGCAAAGAAATGTCAACTGAATTTTAAATTTCAAAGAAATCATGCTACAATCTCCTGAATCAAGAAAATAGAACATGGTCCTCTGGATAAGATACAGTTTCATAATTTTCGAATTTCTATGTCTATATTCTTAGAAAGAACAAATTGCCTTCAGCAGAATTATTTTAATTGTTATTTTGAATCATGTGATTATAAAGTACGAACTACAATACCGTAGCTATAGATCAGACATAGAAATCATGTCATGAGTGTAAGACAAAAAATTTATGTAACAGCTTGATAATAGTTTAAGTATATTTGGTTTCCACAGCATGGGGAGAGAGGGGACGCGGGAGAGAGACAGATCATTTACAGCTCACAGAGAAAAAGATACGAAGATTCTGATTGGAAAAGAAATAAGGATTTACTAGATTCTTGAAAACTCTCTTATCCTAAAATGACATTGACATAAATTTCCATAAAGTCAAAGTTTAAGTAAATAAATCATGTTTATTTTGTCAAATGCCAATGGAGGATGCTCACTTCCACATAAGGGTGAAGCGGAGGCATTCCCCTAACACACACACATGCATACTTACATTATATCCTCAGTATTTTTTAATTGGATTTTGCCCCTTAGTAGATAGAATTTAAAGAATTAATTTATATACCCTTATTCTAATCTATTTTATTAGAATTATAACCAACATTAAAAACACAATTATCCCAAATTAGCTGGGGTTAGGAGTTGATGAACCTAAAATAGATGCATATTATTATTCTATAATTAGAATAATAATATAAATCTATAATACTAATCTTATTTTAATCTTAATAAAATAAAAAAAATTACAAAGAATCATAATATTTCTCTGCCATAAACTAAATCTCCCAAAAGCTTAAGTTGTTAAATAAAAACATAAAAATGATTTTTATATCTAACACACACCCCCTGTGCAAAAGTCTCTTGGGCTTGAAACATAGACAATGTGCATGTCCACCTTCTTGTGCTAAAATCAGACTTTTATTTCGAAGAATAATAGCAATAAGGATCAAACTCTAAATCACTTGGTCAAAGGCTTTGATATCATATCATGATCCAACTCTCCCAAAAGCATAAGCTACTTAGCGAAGACACATGAATAATTTTTATGTTTAACACTATAAATTTAATATAAATTATTCTACCCATTGCACAACATTACATAATAATTCTATTAAATACTGACCTCTTTGTGCCTAGTAAATTCTGCATCCTCTGCATCACTTCTCTCCCTGGCCAATTTCACGATTTCATCAATAAATCTTTGTTCAAGACGCTCATAAGTTGGTGGTGGTGGACTGTCTTCATATCCGATTTCCATGTCTTGCTCATGAGGCGGGTCCATTTCTTGGTTGGGTTGGATCCGCTCACTGAATTTGGGGTCAATTGTTTCATCCTGGATGTAAGGTCTTATCCCATTATTCGCTTGAGCTGCATCATAGAATTTCCAATGTAAATTCGTAAGACATCTATTTTCCAATTATTTGGCCACAAATTGCAATAACTATACCACATTACATAATAGGAAATACTGAAAGAAGAGTCAGAAACACATGATCCATCAATGAAACTGAGAAATTACAGTCTGGGAAATCCAAAATATTATATTGAACTAGATGGTGAAGATTATCCTGTCATAAGTCAAGGCAGTTCTAACAATATATGGCCACAGCATGCCAAAACAAGATAACAGAGTTAATGATACTTCACGGTAATCATTGAAATGCAATTTTGAAACATGAATACAACTCAAAAAAATAGTGCACAGCAATGTCCACGCCCAAAGCTATGCCTTCATTACATGACTTTGTGATGTTGCTTTCCAGCAAAAAATAGCTTAGTAGAAAATAATAATTGCTCATAGACATTTAAATATCTATAACATTTTTTCCTGATCAAATCAATAACATATATCAATTTATAAATTAAGGCTTAAGAATTTTGCTAATAGGTTCATGCAATCAATCTACATGTGGCTTATTATATCTTGAATTCCTCATAAAATTAGTCTATTGAATATATACCACACAACAGAAGTCATGATGCAGTACAGCTGTTACCATTCATGGAAATTTCAGGGTGTTTCTACATATTTGAAGAAAAAAAAAATTGAACCAAAAATCATTTTCTGGCTAAAAGTACACTCAGCATAGAGCATACCTTCATCCATAGAATATGTGGTTAATACGTCATCACAAAACATTACAGCATTTTCTGGCAAAAAGTACACTCAGCTAATAACCCTCGTTAAAAATTACAGCATTACATGACATTTACCATTTACTTCCACCCTTCCAAAGTCTACCACATCCAAAAGACTATATCACAGCTACACGTCAACAGATATTTCAACAATGCAATAGCGAAGTTAAACACAGCGAACATAAATTATTATGGTACAAAATAAAATTTCATGCCCACAAGGATGTAGATAAACTGCACTAGTTAATCATAATTACCATGCTTTGACTAACATCGGAGACTATACTTGCCTTCATTATGTGCAGGAATGGGGAAACCATATACATTTGATCCATATCTATCCCTCTTCAAATGCACCTCTATACTTGAAGTCTTATTCTCAGTAGAAAAGTCAGGCTGGCCTGTATGATAATTTCTTACAGAATTATTCTGCATTCCCGAAACAGATGTGTTGGGTTTGAGAGCAACTTATGGATTGACTTGATAATCAACAGGAGGTCCTTGTCAAATCATTCCCTCCTCTACTACGCATGCTTATTAGACTCCAGCAACTTTGACTGAAAATACAGCAGTAGTTTATGAAATATAAAAAAAAAAAAAGTCACTCTGAAATTTTTAAAAGTCATAAGCCATTGAGAAAGAAAAAGTATGTGATTTTAGTAAAAAATGGGAGTCTTAATAAAGTATTGTGATTTTTAAAAGTCATAAGCCAAAGGTCTGGATTAAGTTACAAATATAATTTTCATTAAAACACTAAGAAGCGCATGCGCACGCGCACGCGTGCACGCACGCACACACATATACATGAGGTACGATCCTTTGACATCAGTGTCAAATTTAAAGTTTGACACTTCATTTGAAAGCCATTAAATCAAAAAAGATCAACGACTCTGATTTGTAAGTATGTGATACCATTGATCTTTTTTGATCTAACGACTCTAAAATGAAATGAGGTGTCAAACTTTAAATTTGAAACCAATGTTAAAGGATCCTACCCTTGTATATATATATATTAATTAATCTAAAAAATACACATCTCACAACCATAGAAATACAATGAAGCTGCAAGCAAAATCTTACAACCTTGGATTCAGAATGTTTTGAACTTTGAGGAAAGACCCCTAAAAGAACATCTACAATGGTCCACCTGAATCATTTCCATCCATAGCGATACATGAGTGATTATCAAAAGAAAAAAAAAAAAAATCCTAATGCCAATGGTGGCATGAATGATGAGATCATGAATATATAAGATTACCAGGACTGAGCATAATTAAGCAACAAAGTCGTCGATTTACTACAGACCATGTAAAGAAATTAAAAATAGTGAGAACCAATATTTCACTAAAAAAATATACAACTAAACTAAAAAAGATAATCAACATATCAATTAAAAACTACTGAGTTACTTCATAAAACGAGGTACCCTAAAATCACCGAATCTAAAAAAGAGAGAGAGTAGATAATAAAACAAGAATCTTAAAATGGCACTAAAAAGTAATCAAAAAATGTTCATGTAAAGAAGAAATTGAAGTTTACCTGGGTCGTAGGGTTTCTCGAATCTTCCAATTCAGAGCAAACACAGCAAAGCGTGCGTTCGTGCCAAAGAAATGTGTAAACAGAGGGTTATGAGTTGCTACTATCTGGAGCTCGAGAACATTTGCCGGAATCGAGAAGTATTTATAAGACTACATAAAAACATTTAAATTAATTTAAGTAGCAGATAAATTAATATAATATGTGAATTTTTAAATTTTACATATTTGAAAATTAAGATAAATAAAGTGTATACATTTGTAACTTGCAAAAACGTTTATAACTTAATTCATATTTTGGTATTATGCATTGGCTTTACAGAAATTGTTTAGTAAAGTTATTGTTTAAAGTAATATTGGTGTTAAAAAATTTTCGGCGTAATGTTATTATAATTTTTTTTTGTAAGTATGTTATTATAATTTTTACTATGAAGTATAAATTTCACAAATCTCTAATTTGATTTAATATTGAAGAGGAAAAATAGATGTCATTATGATTAATTTTTTGAGAACTTCATTTGATATTCATAATGTGAATAACAAGAGTTGGACAGTGAGAGTGATGAGATCAATTAAAATAATTATTTGATAGACTCGTATTAAATATTGATTAAGTAATTAATGAGGATTTGCCCATCTAGTTGAACCTTTCGCCTACAATAGTTATGTCTTGGGTTTGATTCTTAAGTTCTTCCTGTAATCTTTTTTTTAGTAGGCATAAAGGCCAGAGGCCCATCTAATCCAAATTTTTAATCACAAAAAAAAAATGTTCACTAATAAGATCTTATTGCAAAAAGAAAAATATGACTTCGAGTGATGTTGGAATTGGAATTAAAATTGTAATTCATTTTTTATTTTCTTCTTTTATTCAATATTAATTAAAGAAGAATTTATAAATTATTAACTTATTAGTTAAAAAAGAATTAATCGGATGAAATAATTTTTCTTATTATTATTTAAATCTAAAAAGCCTTATATAAAAATGTATGAGTAAATGTGTTTGAACATTTCATCCACTTTAGCAGCTTGGGTGTGATTTTCAATGTTCCTCCGTGGAGAATGTTTAATCTCACCATAAAATGTATTTTCACTATAAATCTTCAATCAATTTGGTAATCTTAATTGATCTTAGCATGCTTTCCCCTGGCTTTTTGATCACTGTAGTCCTTATTTAATAATTAATTATTAAATTGACCACTATTTCAAAAATTTAACCTTGCTTACAAACATAACATCAACCTGCCCATATTTGACCGTTGATCATTAAGCTTATCCGGCTATCCCCTTCTCTACCAGGTATTTTTTGAAAATTTTACCCTACCCGAATAGGGAAGGGGATACCCGGGTATATTTCAAAAAACTGAAAAATACTTCAATTATTTACTCGGGTAGGGAAGCGGCTACCCGGGTAAATTTTCTTCTTTATTTCAAAAATCTGCAAGATTCTCTCTCTTGTTAGACATGTACTCATAGACTAATATTCTTTCATCTCTATAGATGCAGAACCCTAAAAGCTTTACGAGATTAGTGTGCTGGAGTTTGGCCATGAGTTTAGCTTCAAACTTAAACTCTATCAACCCTTGTCCTGAACTTTTAGAAAGTCACTTTATTGCTACCTCACTCATGAAGTTATGGGTGGCTTAAAGAATGTATATGCTATTGGAGCAGGTAAAATTCAGTTTACATTGTTACATTGTAGAGAACAACTTAGTAGAAGTCAATCGCTACATACTGTTTTTAAGCAGGAGAGAGAGAGTATCTTTTGTGTTCTTGGTGGTAAGTAATTTATTCGGGTAGCCGTCTCCCTACTCGGGTAAATAATTCAAGCATTTTTCAATTTTTTGAAATATACCCGAGTAGGGAGGGGATACTCGGGTAGGCTTGATGGTCAACGGTCAAACAGAGACAAATTGATGTTATGTTTGTAAACAAGGTTAAGTTTTTGAAATAGTTTATAATCAAGGTCAATTTGATAATTAATTATTAAATAAGGACTGCAATGGTCAAAAAACTGCTTTTTCCCTAGTCTAATATTAAAAAAATTCATTAATAATAACAAAGTTTACCTCTTTATGATGAAATAAATGAAGAAAAGAAATATTAGTATACAAGAGATGACATCTTCTTTATCTCATGTTAATAAATCATTTTCTATTTGATGTAAATTTGATTCAATAATATAAAATGAAATGAAAGTGCAAAAAGAAATGAGAATATAGAAATGAGAGAATGTTAAACTTTATGTAAATCTCATGTCACTTTACAAGTTCACAGTAATCTATATTTTGCATCTTTGAAGAAAAATAAAAGGTTATTTAAATAAAGATATTTTATCATTAATGGAGAAAATAAAAAAAGATGTAAGGTCAACAGGTGAAACATTCACTTTATTCATTGAATGATTCATTCGATTGCCAATGGTTATTGAATCATGAAAGTATTTCGAAAACATTCTGTGATGGCTCAATGAAACATGTCTATTTGAGTTGAACAAAAAAATCATTTACCACCACTCAATATGGTCAACCCATTTCTACTTATTATTCTGAACTTGTAGAAAACTTTCAAGAGATTAATCATCACTCAGATTCATAGGCTAACTCTATTGAAGGTGTGGTTTAGTTACACTCTGCTATGACTTGACTGAGGGCTCATATCTTCTTCAGTGGATTGGACCTGTGTTGCACCGACATCGACATGGGACACGAGATACGACACTCCGACACATTAATTTTAAAAAAAATTAAATTTCGACACGTTAGGACACATTTTGATATTATATAATATTTTTAATTTATGTAGTGTATATTTTATTTAGTATTTAATAATTTAACAAAAAAATAAAGCTAAACTTATAATACCCATCAAGTTTGCAAAGAAACATAATATATCTCAAATATTTATATTAAACTCAATAAAATAGTAATCATAATCTAACGAATCTAATAGTTAGAACTCAAAATGCAATGCAACGTAACTTTTGAATCATTTTTGAGTCTTTGCAACGAGTATTGGAGTGTTGGGAAGTGTCGGAGTGTCGGTGAGTATCGAGAAGTGTCGGACACGACACGTCAGGATTTTTGAAGTGTTGGTGCTTCATAGGATTGGACTATGAATTTGATCAGTTCATTGTGAAATCTTGCGCAAAGAGATGAAGCTCAATCTAAAAAGCACGTATGCATATGTTCGGACGTAGCAACAACAAAGGTAAACCATGGGTGGCCTTTGATTTATTCTAGAAAGCTCAATGATGTTAGCTGGTCAATCTCGATAGGGTTCCTTGTCTAGCATTGGCAGACCCCTGAAAGATAGCAATACTAGTATGCCAAATAATATTGTTTGCTCCCATCGTGGTGAAACATGACATACCAAGTAGCAATGTTCTTAAATTATTGGCTATCCTGAATGGTAGAACATTAACAAATGTCCCAAGAATAAACTCCCGAGTAAGGCAATGACCATTACCTTTAATGAAAGCTCCTAACAACTCACTGTCAATGCTACTTACCTAGGTACTGTTGGTAAAACTTTCGTTTCTCTACATATTCAAGAGATAATATCTTGATAATTAACTTTGGAGCTTCTAATCATATGATAAGGGATTCTAGTAAGTAATATTGTTTTCCCCTTCTTCCTAATCAGTTATTTTTATTGTAAATGGGAGTACATCTGCCATCACTAGTGAATGATCTCTTATCTAGTTTGAACACTTTCATTTGATACACGCTAAAGTATGGAGTAGACTATCTAGTTTTAACACCTTCTTTTGATACACACAAAAGTATGGAATAGACTATCAGAAAACGTTTGCCCTAATAGCAAAACTCAATACAATTTGGATAATTATGTCCATAACCGTGAATAAAGACTAACAACTATCACAATTTGATGTGAAGAATGCATTCAATTTGTAAATCTGAAAGAGGAGGCGTACATGTAGTTACCACCAAGTGTCAAAAAAAGTTCCTTAAGTGAAAATAAAGTCTGCGAACTAAAAAAGATTTATATGGGCTTAAGCAATCCCCTACAACACGGTTTGAGATATTTTATTCTACAATGAGGAAATTTAGATACAAATAAAGCAATGTTGACCACACCTTGCTCATTAAATACAAGGAAGGAAGAATAATTATACTAATTGTCTATGTAGATAACATGGTCCTGACAGGAATGACATATATGAGATTAAACTTCTATAAAAGCAACTAGCAAGTGATTTTGAAATAAAAAACTTGATACTTCTTGAAAATTGAGGTAGCAAGATCAAATTATTGTATTTATCTCTCGGAGAGGAAATATATTGAGACTAGAGTGCTTGCATGTAAGCAAGTGGAAACACCAATCAAGATGAATTATGTTTGAAATATTTTTGGATAAAAAATCAAAGACATGGGTCAATATCATAGGGGAAGACTGGTATACTTATCACATGCAAGGCTAGATATTTTCTCTTTCGTAAGTGTTGTAAGTCATTTTATGCACAAACTAAACATAAGTTATATGAATTATGTGTATCAAATTCTGATATAGTTAAAGGTTGCCTTTGGTTGAGGACTGTTGTACTCAAAAAATTAATGTCATCGGTGTTAAAGGCTATATTGGCTCTAATTAGGTTGGAGACCAAACTACATGGCAGTCCTTGCTAGGCTATTTCGCATTTAAGGTGATTTAATTTCTAGCAAAAGCAAAAAATAACAAGTAGTAGCAAGATTAAGGGCAAAAGGTAAATTATGGGTATGACTGAAAGAGTTTGCGAGCTATTGTGGGTCAAAAGTGTATTAAATGACTTGAGAATTTGTCAGGACAAACTATTGAATCTCCGTTGCAATAACAAGGCTACCATTAAAATAGCAAAAAACTTGTGAAATATGACTAAACCAAACATATAGAGATTGACCCGCACTTTATCGAGGAGAAGGTAGATCAAAAAAGGGTTCGCTTTTTCTGCAGTTACTGCAGATAAGTTATTTGCAGTAAGCTCAATACGACGTCGTTTTAGGGTGAAAATCATGGTGTTTTTGTAATTTTAATTTATTTCAGGGTTATAATAGTCGTTATATTTATAATTTTTTAAGATTTCAATACCAAAACGACGTCGTTTTGAAAAAAAATGCAGATAACTTGTCTGCAGTAACTGCAGAAACATTTTCTCCATCAAAAAATTATACAATTCCCATTTGACAAGTGTTAAGATCAATTACATGATATACTTATTAAAGTTATTTTTGGAAGAATTTTTCAAGGTACAATTAATTGACATTTATGCTCCAAATCGAGGAAAATTTTGAATTGTATTTATATATTTAGAAAGATTTAATTTTTGATAAGGTTAACCAATTTGTTGTAGCAATTATAGGGATTCTGTCATGCGAAGAGATTGCAGAGTTTTAATTTCTTGATTTGAAGCGTTTTTAATTTTCTGATTGCTTGTTATTTCCTTTCCTAATTTGTAGCTCCATGCTGTGTATATAACAATGAGTTAATATTCTCTGTGTACAATTGTTTAATAATAATTAATCTTAATGGTTAGGTTTTCTAATTTTTTTTTTTTTTTTTTTGTAAATAGTTTTCTAATTTTTTTACCCATGGGTGGAGGATCAAATTTTTAATATCTTATCACACTTGAACATATATGACTACGAGCAAGTTATGTCTGATAACGAAACGACATCCTCCAGTTTTGTATCCAACATCTCACACCTTAATCCGAATTTTAGGGTTGATTTTTCAACAATAAAAAATCTTAATTCGAATTTTAGGGTTGAGACACTTTAAGGCCGAAGCAGTAATCTATTGGCTAAACAGAAAGAAGAATGAACACAAGGATTACGAAAAAAATACTATTCTCTTTTCTTAATTTTATTTAACCAAAAAATAACATGATAACAATAGGATTCTCGAAGCCTTAAATAGACAAAATAAAATAACAAAAAAGTAAATAAATATAATCATGCGCAATCAAAGAAGATAATGCACAATCAACGCACACTCAAACATAATCTAAAAATAACAAAAAAGAAAATAATTAACAATTATTAAAAATCATAAGCTATGAAATAAATTATAGAAAAGCTCAATCTAAATCAGTCACCCAAGTGCATCACACACGTGCTAGGAAGAGCTGGTGCCTTGGTGGTGATTACCTTATCTTAAAATAATAAAATCCAATTGGAACCAGCCTGTTTAACTTTGGTTTGTTAAGAAAAAGATAATTAGAAATACCAAAAAATGAGGTTCAGCATAGAAATACATATTGCAATGATAATACATCAAAAGTTAAGTGTCATTTTGCTTTTGGGGTGTTACACATTATAAATTGAGAAAATGCAGCTAATACTTCCTTGGAACATAGGTCAAATGAATCTTAAGGTTGGGCCGGCACTTCACTACAATTTCCAACTATGAGTGAACAATGTTTCTACCTTTGGATTTTCACTATCTTGTTGTCACTGCAACTGTCCACCAAAAATCTCCAATATCATATTCCAAATACCCATAATTGTTTGTACCTTCAAATTCTCACCCTCAAAAAGTTTTCAACTGTCTTTCAAAACTCCCCCAAGTTTCTCTCTCTCATTCTGTGTGAGAAGTGAGAACCCTGTCAACTTTACTCAATCACTCACACCCATTTGCTAAAAAGTTACAAACTTTTTGTTCCTTGTAGTCCCAAAAATCAATCTTTTCCTTTCCGCCCCATACATAGTAACATTGTCATTGGTCTCCACAGTATTTTTGTTGTGGTCTTGGTTTGAAGGTTCCAATTTTCAACCAATGGTGGTTAAGTTGATGAAATGGCCTCCATGGCCACCTCTCACTTCCAAGAAATATGAAGCAGTTATCCTTGTTAACAGGCTTGAAGGCTCAAGTTTGGTGAAACCTGAGGAAGTGAAGTCCTTGGTGGTTGAAATCAAGTGGAAAGGACAAAAAGGTGTGGCCTTGAGTTCATTAAGGCGCTCTATGAAGAGAAATGTCACCAGAGAAGTGGATGCTAGTGATGCAGGAGTAGTTGAATGGAACCAGGAGTTTAGAAATGTGTGCACCTTTACTGGGTATAAGGAGAACGTGTTTTATCCATGGGAAGTTATGTTCACAGTCTCCAATGTGAGTGAGTCTCTTATTAAATTCAAAATATCCACACTGTTTTTTTTATCTTCTATAGTAGTACACTTTTTTGTTGTTACACATTGGTGTTTAAACTTGCCATGCATCTTGAAATTTCTTGCTCTTATTTGGTTTTCTTTAGGCATTAAGGTGTATCTTTGGTATTTTTATTATCAGTAACAACACTATGTGTTGTTGTTTGATGTGTTACTGTGCCTTTCCTAGTACATTGAGATGTTTCAGCATTGAAGGTTCTTTGAAGGAACCTGGGTGATGACATGCCCTTTTTCAGATCTTCCTTGCTTCCCATTTATCAAGCATGATTGGAGGGTTTTTAGTTATTTTGTGTCAAATCATTCCTTGTGGTAACATCATCACCGAAAAATTAGTCAAATCAAAACATTTTATCAAGAACAATTTGTCAATCAGCTTTTATGACTTCACAAATTTTTTAAACGGAAAGGATATTGTATCAATCAATTAAGGTTATTACCAATGTTACTACTAATTAATTTCATCGTTAGATTGATTATGTTAATTCAACGGTTATATTTATTTCCATCTTTGTATGGTTATGATTTTCTATATTTAATACTTTATATTTATTTTCACCTTTATATGATTATGATTTCCCATATTTAATGTGAAAACATTAAATATGGGGAATCAACCATACAAAAATGAAAAAAATATAACCGTTGGATCAATATAATCGATCTAACGGTGAAATTGATTGGTAGTAACACTAATTGATTGTTATAATATTTTATCCCTTTTTTAAAAGGCTTTAATGTTTCTAAAATGAACGTAGATAAGTTATCTACATTCACTCTCAAAACGACGTCGTTTTGGATTGAAAAATTATAATGAAAAATACTATTATAACTCTGAAATAAATTATAATTACAAAAATACTTTGATTTCTGCCTCAAAACGACGTCGTTTTGGGCTCACTATAAATAAGTTATCTACATTGACAGTAGAAAAAGCGAACCCTTTTTAAAATAGTCGCTTAATCATGGATTAATATTAGACACTTTACTAAGACTTCAATTTCTTTTGCATAGTTTTTAATAATTTCTTTAATTTTTATACAAATAGTCAAATACAAATAAAAATACTATAATAATTTCTTTAATTCAACATTATAGAATGTTGCAGGAAACAAAAGTCATCCTGCCACTTACCCATAGAAAACGTGCAAGTTTTTTTCTTTTTTCATTAAAGTAGTGGGTCCCACAAGATTTTGTGTCTGTGGGAACCCCACCTGTCTTCCTGCAACATGACCGATCGAATCTCCTTAATAATATATTATTAACTAATATTAACTTTTAAGATATTAATTTTTTATTTTAATAAAAAGTTTATACTTTTTATGTCAATTTTATATTTGGGAAAAGTTCACCAATAGTTTGCTTCAGAATCACTTATGCTCCTGTGGTTTTTTTTTTTATCATATATGCCCTTGTGGTTTATAAAAGGGTATGTTTTTTATCACATATGTCCCCGTAGTTTTTTATTTTTTACAAAGCACAGGGGCATATGTGATAAAAAAAGTTACAGGAACATAGGTGATTATGAATCAAATCACTATTGGTGAATTTTTCCCTTTATATTTTTATACGTTATATACCATAATTACATCGTGTATTATAATTCTTAAAATTTTACCGTATTTTTATGTCTGTGTTATATCGTATCCGTGTTTTCTATTTGTGCTTTTGTGTGCTATCTCATTTGATTTCTTGGGTTTGAAGCTTAAACCAGCACCATTTAAGGGAATTGAATCAATTCCCTTAAATGCACGAGGCCAATATGAGAATATGACCTTAACAACATTGCTGGCAGAGAGATTTAGTTTGATTCAAAAGCTGTCACGAGAAAACCTTTTAAGAGGACCAAAAAGTAAAAGTTTTCAAGAAAATCAGATGGTTAGTTTCTTGGCAATAAAGTTTCCTGATTAGTGGTTACCTTTTCTTGTCAAATAATATTCATCTCATTTTATGTGAATCATTTTCTTAAAAAAAGTATCATGGAGATAGAGATTTCTGTGTTTGGTATTTTCAATGATCTGTTTATCATCGTTTCTTTGGAATTCCCTGTTTTGATTTTGGACTTTTTTCAAGATTTTGAAACGAAAGATACTTTGTTCTTTAGCAATCTTTAATGTAAATTTTTATGGCATATTCAGAGCTCTGTAAATCTCATTCAGTTTTAAATTCTTTTGCAAAAGAGAACAAGTGTTATTTCCTGTGTGAGTGCATGCACTTGTATGTTTGACTAGGATTTTTGTTCATGCTGGAATTCAATTTTCGCAGTGAATCACTGAGGTTAAATTTATCTTCTTGGTTGTATAATAGTTTGACATTTTCTTTACTTTCTTTTGTACTGAATTAGGTATCTAACCTAGGGTCCAAAACCAGGTCCTCTGTAGCTGGAGTTTCATCAATAAACTTAGCTGAATACGTGCCTGAAGCTGTGGATAAAGAGACCAAGATTGTAATTCCTTTGAATTTCCCTGGTACCAATGATACTAGTCTCTCATTTTTTGTAAGTTTCTTTTTTTCTTCCTTTTCTTTTTATGTCATTTAATATTTTCTAATGGTTTTTTTTGCCTACCTGGATTTGATACACAACCCACTTCCCTCATCCAAAAAGAAAAATTATGTGTGGGAAAATTTTTCATTTTGCCTTTTGGAGTTTCACTCTATATCAATCTTTCATTTGTGTTTCAGTTATCTCTTAGTTTACTGAAGCTGGAGCCGGTTCAAGAATATTTGGATTCAGTGCAAAGATCGACCATGTGTTTTCAGTCATCACCTTCTTCTGCAGAAGCTGTCTCAATGAATAAAGATGAATTTTCTACACTTAAAGCAGGTCTGAGAAAAGTTAAAATCTTTACTGATTATGTATCAACTGGAAGAGCAAAGAAGATAGGCTGCAAAGATGAAGGAAGTGATGGTAGGAGCTCCAACAGAAGTGAAGATTCTGAATACAGGTATACATCTGACAAAGATTCACTAGATAATGATGCTGCAATCAAACAAGAGGAGAATAAGGAGGGTTCTTGTGTGAGACATTCGTTGAGTTATGAGACACTGGCCTCTGGAAACTATGTAGGAGGATCACTTTATACAAGTTCAACTTTTACAGGTAAAGATGAGTGTTGGGTCCACTATAGCAATCAAAAATCTGATTTTGGGGATGCACATGTTGAGAATTATAATACATGGGATCAGAATGAATATCACATTTCAAAACACCGAATCCTTCCTTGGAGGAAGCGGAAACTGCCCTTTAGATATCCCAAGGTGAAAGGGGAGCTACTTCTGAAAAAACATTATGGGGAAGAGGGTGGAGATGATATTGATTATGATCGTAGGCTGCTGATCTCTTCTGATGAATACACTTGTGGAAAGGTATGTATGATATGCATGGTTTTTCCGGCATTACTTTTTATCTTCTATTTTAGAACACCCTTTGAAGATCATTTTTAATAAATGTTCATGTTTCCTGCAGTGGTATAAAATACAAGAAAACATCACAACTAGTCAAACATTTGTCTCTGAATTTGGGGAGAACAGTTTTACTGTAGGAAGTTGGGAGTACAATGAAGTCACTAGCCGTGATGGACAAATGAAGCTCCATACACCAATCTTTTTTGCTTCAATTGATCAAAGAAGTGAATGTGCTGCAGGGGAGAGTGCATGTGGAGTCCTGGTTGCTGTGATTGCTGATTGGTTGAAAGTGAACCAAGCTATGATGCCCATCAAGTGTGAATTTGATAGCCTGATTAGAGATGGATCATCAGAATGGAGAATTCTTTGTGAGAATGAGGACTATATAAAGAGGTTTCCAGATAAACACTTTGATCTTGATACTGTTCTGCAAGCCAAAATCCGTCCAGTGTCTATAGTCCCAGAAAAGTCCTTTGTTGGATTTTTTATTCCAGAGGAACTTGAAGGTGAAGGTTTTGACTTGCTTCATGGTGCAATGTCTTTTGATAGCATATGGGAAGAAATAAGCCATGCTGCATCAGAATTGCACATGGGTAGTGAGCCTCTAGTGTACATAGTAAGTTGGAATGACCATTTTTTTGTCCTAAAGGTTGAGCAAGGTGCTTACTACATTATTGACACTTTGGGGGAGAGACTATATGAAGGATGCAACCAAGCCTACATCTTGAAGTTTGATACAAGCACAAAAATTGAGAAACTGCTTAATGAAAATGATGCATTGGAGCAGAAACCTCTCAGTGGTGCAATGCAGATAAATAGTTCAGAAGAAGATGTAGTTGATGGAGATTTCTTAGTCATTCCAAATGAGGGCAATGATACAAGGGAGGAGATTGTATATAGAGGCAAGGAGTTATGTAAAGAGTACATCAAGAGCTTCTTGGCTTCAATCCCTATAAGAGAGTTGCAAGATGATGTCAAGAAAGGCTTGAATGCATCCATGCCACTTCATCATCGATTACAAATTGAATTCCACTACACCCACATCAAGTAACCCATGATACAAGAAGCAACAACAGTTAATTCCTCAACAATGGCATTGGTGGTGGCAGTTGCTTAGTGAAACTCTTTGAGAGTTTCTGTAATTAGTAACTAATGTTTTCCCCTTCTGAGTTTTTTTTTTTTTTTTAAACACAAATTAGTATTAGAAACCCATTTGAGTTGCTCAAGCTGAGCTGAAGATTCAGTTTTTGGAATTTTCAAGGCCTGGTCTTCTTATTAATAATGGTCTTGATTATGGTCAGGACTTTTGGATCTTAACACTTGTACATGACGTTTGATGTAGGAGAAATTTTTATTTGTCTGAAAATCTCGATTTTCAAAAATATGATTTTTACATTCAGTTTACGATAATATCTGAGAATTTAAAATTTTAAAAATTTCAGTTTTTCAGAAATCCAAAAAAAATCCGTGTACCAAAGATACATCACATCCCATTTCATGTTTATGTAACTTGTCATTCCTTTCCATCTTTATTTTTATTTGTTTCAAGGCAGATAAATGGAAGTTTAAAAGAAAATTGCTATTTTCTTACACCACTATGTAACTCACAAGTGTGTACGAACTCAGTTGTCTTAATTTTTTTTTTAGTATAAAATAATTTAGGTGAAATAAAATGCCGATATTTTATCAGAATTATGACAGACCTCTCCGTCTCTTTAAGGATTTTCGGAAAAGATTATAAATTACATCACTAGTGAAGTCCTTGCACTGGCTAAAAATAAAATTAAACGTGTGTATGTATTTATCATACATATATTCATTATTTCTTTGGAATAAGAAATCCAACAACAATAATCACGATGATTAACATGAGCGTATGCTAAGGCAAGCAAAGCCTAGAAGATTAACATGATTGGTTCCATTTGTCAATACTAAGGCCCGTGCGGGATTAAGGTTGGAGTATAGTAGGAACAAAACAAAGAATGAGAGTTTTCAAAAAAATAAAATAAAACAAAGAATGAGAAATCCTTTAGAGACCTCTATAAATTTTTTCCATAATGAAGATATAATATCTGATTTTTAATAATCAGAAAATTTATGAAGAGAGGTAAGTTTTGATTAATTATTTAACGCAAGATTTAGTTTCCTATTTTATTTTTATTTATTAAAATTTGATTTCAGTCCTTTAATTTTGGATATTCTTACCTCGAAGACTTGATTTTGATTTCGAAAGTAACTAGTTCATCTTCTTGTCAATTTGACGGGATTTTTTGTTTTTTTATTTCTTTTAAATTTTATTTGTTTTTCGTCAGTCATTTTTTTTCCAAATTTTTTTTGACACTTAATGATATAATTTTAGCTTGACGTATCATGTTAAAAAATAAATAAATAAATTTAGTATGCTCTAGCAAAAATCCCAACCAAAATTTTGGAGCTCCTTATGCATCAATGAGTAAATTAAATTTAATTACATTTGAATTTGAATAAAATGTATGAAGATTTTATGTTAAAAAATAATCTGGGTTATGATCCTATGCAAGAAATTTATTTCATAGCCACTATTTATATTTACAGCAATGTTATTTGATCCAAAAAAAAAATTGTACAAAAACTGTTTAAATTTTCTCCCTTAATAAGTCATTTAAAAAAAAAAAAAAAACCTATTCATATAATTTAACTTTTTTCCGTAAATTAAATAGTCAAATAAGCACATATTTGAGAATCTTGACCATCATATTTGGGGTGGTGTGAAGGAGATTGCCATGGTTTGGTCTTGCTTGTGGTGCTAAATTGATGTCTCTCATGTCAATTAGTAAATTAAAATAGCAAAATCACTGTAACATATTTAGTAAATTAACTATGGCCTAGCATAACTAATTGCCAACCATATCTAAGAGGGGAAAACTGACACCTATTACCATAGTTTAACAAAGAGGATACTTTGATCAATAGTAATATACAAATGAGGAGCCCTGAGCTGAGATGTGTAAGACAAAAAGGAATTAGACTGCCAAAAATATATGATTACTGGAAATAATCACCTCCCACTTGAACATATCTGAGAGACCAGTTTGATAATTCCCCACATGGGTGCGTCGTCCTGCAGGAAATAATTTGCAAGTTACAATTAATATAAAACAACTATTTCAATCCAAAATCTTAAACCGGTAAGTAAAACTACATTAGTAGTTTTATATTAATATTTCTTACTGTAAAGAAGTATTTCAACCCAAAACCTTAAGGTGTTGGGTGAGGGCCTTTTTAATGGTTTATATTATTCTCTAACACACTCCCTCACGCAAGAGCCCTTTGGACTTGAAGCGTGGATATTGCACAGACCCAATTTTTGGTTTACCTTTTGTGCTTTTATTTTAATTCCACCAGAAAGTGGGGGACGGTGAGGATCGAACTCGTGACCTTGTGGTCACTTAAGCTCTGATACCATGTAATAAACCATTTCAACCCACAACCTTAAGGTGTTGGGTGAGGGACTTGTTAACGGTTTATATTATTCTCTTAGTCATCCCTTCTCCTGATATGTTCACTTCAATTGAACATTAATAAATATAATGTCAGTTGAATGACATATGAGCTTGTATAAATAGTATTTATGCATTTAGTTTAATATTATGATTGTTCCAGAAGTCAACAATAAAAGGGAATGTTCTCATACAAATTGGAAGAAACCAGGAACCTAAAGATATTTACCATCCATCCAATCCACTTACCACAAAAACAACATCAAAAGATTCTTTATAGCAGCTAAGTGAGTTCTCAATGTTGTGGTTCCTGCAACAATAGTTTTATATGGTTGATCAGCTGCATTGATTATTAGTTTTAGATACCATTCCCTACCACTAGGAACAAATATGCATCTTTTCAGATAATGCATGTAAAAGTAAAAGAACTAAAGATCATATTAGATAATCTATGTAACTATAGGAGAAGAGGAGAGGGTCATAAAATACAAATACCATAGCTGGAATCTGGCTATTACAATAGGCAACATGATTTATAATTGCAAATTTCCATTTCCCTTCTACTTTCTGAGCTCTTCTTTATTAAAAAAAAAAAAAAAAAAAAACCACTCCCCGTTAAACCCGACTAGCGAGTGAGGGGTGGAGGAAATCCTTGTACGCAGCCTTACCCTTGCATAATTGCAAAGAGGCTGTTTCCTGGATAAAAAGTCTTTATTAAAGAAAAAGTTTTTTTTTTCCAAAATAAAAACAGATGCACACACAGATGAGCTAGCAAACAATAGCATACCCTAGTCAACTAACCCTCTTTTCCTGATTGTGCGACAGTTTATGGGAAAGGACACTAAAACAAAAAATGAAGAATTAATATACTACAGGCACAAGTCTAGAAGTTTAGCATGCCAAAAACAAAAAAACCATAACTGTTTAAATAATTTTTTTGACATACATGTTCATGAAATTATGTCATATTTTGATATATATATATATATATATATATATATATATGTTCATGAATTTTGACAAAATTGTCAATCTACCATGGTTGCCTGGCTAACTGGCTTTACAAAATGTCATTATAAATCTAGCAGAGATCAAGTCACATTCATAAGGAGTAAGGACCTTGTAGACATTAATTGAGCATAAATTTACATTTTACCCCAGCCATTAAAATATATGAAATTTGGCAAAGCAAATTTTCAACTTACAAGAATCCCACAGATATTCGAGTCTCATAATTCAAACCATCAGACATTCCCAAGTCTCCAATGTGATCACCGAGAAGGAGAACATTGGTTCTCTTCTTGAATAAGGCATTCTCATCAGTTGGACCATCCATATCACCCAATTGCTCATGAACAGGCGCAGCCATATCAAGAGCATGCTCATTTTTATTTAAGCTATGAATCAATTTTCCTGTAATTGAAAAAGTAAAAAGAACTAATTTTATTGAGTAAAGATGTTTAAAAGCCCAAAAAATTGCATTTTATCCAAAATACTCCAATTCCAATGACCAACAAGCACAGGTATATGAAATGTTGCTTTCCAACTCAGCCATAAGCTGCAAAGTTCCAACTCAGAACACAAGTATATAAGAAAACATAGCTATACATCAAGGTCGATATCAATTTACAGAGTTACCATTAAATATTTGTTTTAGTTTTTATGTCCTGTATGGCAAAGCATTGAAAAATGTTCCAAGACTCCGGGAGTAAAGACAAACATCTATACTTCTGCAACTTTTTTTCAGATTACAATAGTTGAATTACTTGTACACTGCTTTGAATGAGGATTGAATTTGAATAAGATAGATTTATTTATACTGAAAAGAAATTCATCTGTTTGTTGCAACTTGCAAGAGCAATATGTTAACCAATTTCAGGAAATAAACATAGAACTTACTAATGGTAAGTGTTAATTAAATTTTGAGTCAACTTTCATACATTTCTTGGAGATTGTTAGTAATGAGGGGTATCATTGGTGTGTTACAACGAAAAGAGCTAGAGTTAGAGATTCCATAATGTAATTTGCTATTTCAATTAGGTTCAAGTGTGCTTTCAAAATCTTTAGTTGAGATTGGTATTGGAAAGGATTGTATCTGGGGCACTTTCAAGATAGTGGTCACATTATTTGAGTAAGATGCCATACAACAATGCATAAACTCACCCAGGTTTTCTGTCACTCCACAATGTTAGACCCTGCAAACGTTATTGCACATACTACTAAGGTACAGAGATAAGACAAATTTCTTTAGCTGTCTGTTGTCCCAGCCCAGGCAAGGAAGTGAAGTAACCTTTTATCAAAGTATGACATAAACCTTGCATGTTGCAAATTCTTTCCACCCAAACCTAAGTGACATATAATCCATTGAGCTCCTTATTTGTTAGGCAGTCACAGTGAAAGACATTGTAGATCTTGCCACATATTTTTACCTAACTCACTCACCATGGTGTAAACAGAAATAAATAAATACTGTATAATATATATCTATTTGCTTTTCTCTATTGCCAGTGAAACCTAAAAGCACTTGTATAATGCCTCTGCCTCAAAGATGTATTTGGATATAAAAATTGAGTTGAAAAGCCAATAAATAAGTAGCTAATTAATGCAGGCAACATAGAATCACCTTTAAAAGATACAAGGCGGCCATCATCATCGAATGCCATCCTGTTGGATACAATCTTCACATTTTTGAAGGATCTATGAAGTTTCTGCCTCAGAACCTGTTATTATCAGAACAAGGGATACGTGCAATTGAGAGGCACAAACAATAATAGAGAAGAAAGTGAAGAGCATATGTTTAGCAACCTTGTCATCATAAAACAAAAAATGACTTTTCAGACCTCTTCAATGATATCAGCAAGCCCTGCAGAGAATATTAACACAGGAATGTCTCTTTCCTGAAAATTACAAAATGAATAAAAGGAACCGGTGTCAGAAATTGAATCTTCACATACATATATCACATGTCATAAATTCACTTGATATAGAATGAACATATAAAGATGTAAGAACTTATATTTGCCAAAGAAGGATGGGAAATATACCTCCAAAAACTCAAAAAGTTCCACAACACCTTCCCTGAAAGCTATGTTGGCGTTAGCAACTGATTGTCTTATTGATTCATATGTAAGTCCTCCCTCAATGAGAAGAGCATGTGTTTTTCCCCACCTGATGCAGCAGATTTAGAGTTTCAGCAGCCAGCATTAATGTCAATACTGAATGTCACTGTTCAACTTAGTGACTAAATCTCCACCGTTGAGAAGCTGAGTCACATACCACTCTTCCATGAGCTTTGTTTTCTCCTCAAGTCCAATAGTTGGCGAAAATTCTAATGGATGGTAATAATCATATAACTGCTGTCTTTTGGCATCATATTCTGAATTACCCTGCTGCAAAAGGCCATGACTGCCTATAAATGATTCTATTAGATAAAACACATAACAAAACACCTTATGACAGTTATGATATTTTTATTATTTTTCATCAAAGGGAACTAAAGGGGAGAAATAAAATGTTCAGGCAACATACTTTGGCCACGAGTTCCATTAACCCAAAACTTTGTTAAAGTGGCATCAAAATCAGCAATCACCTGCCACCAGGAATCTGTGAAAATGCAATCATAAAAGTAGAAACATATTGTGCTGGGAAAATCTGAAAACCTAAAAACCGTTTTTTTTTAAGGGTTTATGCCACTATAATGAGCACATCAAAAATAAAAAAAAATAAAAAATTAAGGAATACCCAATACAATATGATACTCGTTGGTGTACTGAAACTTATTAATCAACCAAATGCATGCAGAAACCTGAAGCTTCTGGGGACCAGCCAAACGAATTGCAGCAATTTTGTTCTCCAGCAAAACAGGATCACCCACCACCAATCCTGAAGCTACCTTCACATCCTCCATTTCCAAATTTTTCCCACAACTAAAACTAGAAAATGATACCCTTTTTTTTAAAAAAAAAAAAGAAGAATAAATAAGAATAATTCATAAACTAATAAAGAAAAACAAAAATACAAACTTTAACACACAGATATGCAATACCAATAGTCCAATATTACAAGGGGGGGAAATAAAATAAAATAACAAAAGAGGAAGTGAAGAAAATGAACCTTGTGGAGGTGTTATGAGAAAAGCAGGTAAAGGGTAAGTGACGTGGGTGAAAGGTGCTAACTATGATGGCTTGGATTTGGAAGCGATAACTCATTTGAGTGTGTGTGTGTGTGTGTGTGAGAGAGAGAGAGAAGTTCAATAACATATACTAAATTAACGGCCTTAACGCCACATAATTCAATTTAATGGATCTGTAACTCAGATTTCTGAGTGCTGTTACAGTGTCACCTGTCACCAAAATAATGGGAGAAACAATACGAGGTACAGGATATATTTATAAATTTTTTTTTTATAATCTTTTACAATCATATTTTAATACTGTTAATCAATGGTTATGATTTTCGCAAATTAAATTTATTAATTAATTATTAATTCACAATAAATAATAATCGTTGATTGTCGAAAATCAATGATATTAAAATATAATTGTAAGATATTGTAAAAAAAATTTGTAAGTATAACTTTCCCTGAACTATATTATTTAATGTTCCTTGCATGAATTGCAACTTAACAACTGGATACTGTGGATGTTATTTATGCTAAAGTGGGACATGTTTTTTTGTTTTCTTTTTAAGATTTGATTGGGCCTTTTTAAAAACGTGGTGGTGTTTCTGTTTCCCAAAAAAAAAAAGGTGGTGGTGTGGCCTGCAATTTTTTTCTTTTTCGTTTTTAATCATGAGGCATATTTATGAAGTTTGGTCTATTTCAACTGTCTACAAGAACAAGACTGAGTCTCATTTGAAAACCCTTTCTACAATAGTTACTGTCTCGATCTTCTAAGTTTCCTTCTCATCCACTCAATATTTATCATTTCAACTCACTCATTTGGGTTTTTAAAAATCTATTTATAGATATATTTTACGATGTTTTAAACCCGACTGACTAAGTCGATCAGGTTTCGAATCCAACTCAAGAGAGTGAATAATATTATCCCTCATCATTAGGATGTTTTTAATTGTTGGTCAAAATATATCTTATAATATATTTATTATATAATTAAATTAAATTATATTAAATCAGTTGAATTAGTGACCTACTTATTGGACTAAAGATCCAGTAACCTAGTTTTAAAACAATGATATTTTGTACTTACACTTTTGAGAAAACTAATAAATGTATAATTTTAAATTATTATAATAAAAAATTAATGTTCTAATAATAGTAATGAGACTTAAAGCTTTTTTTTTTTTTTTTTTTTTTGTAAGTTATGAGACTTAAAGCTATTGATTACACAGGTTTAAAAGTATCTTTTTTTTTATAGCAAAAGTATCTTTCTTTCTTTTTGATAGCAAAAGTATCTTGAATGACATAGAACTTCACTTCTTTTTTTGTTAAATGGATATTTAAAATAATCGTGGCCTAAGTTATTTTATGAATATGTTAGATCAAGCCTAATGTGAATCAGGCTATAAGCCCTAATATATTACTTAAGATATTTTTACTCATATTTTATATCAAAATATAAATATAAAATAATATATAAGTAAGATCTCTATTTAATTTGTTATCTTTTTTTTAAAAAAAAACTAAAGATTTAATCGTTGCAATTATTTTTTACTGTAAATTATTTTTATTTTAAAAAATTTAGAAGATTAGTTGCCGCGATTTGTTTTTTATTGTAAGTCATCATCGTTATATTTAATTTTCGTTTTTATTTTATTTTGAGAAAAAAATTAATGTTAACAAATTATTTTTCATTGTAAATTATTTTTTTTATTTTTTATGAAAAACTTAAAATTTAATTTTTGTAATTTTTTTTAGTTTTATTCAATTTAATTTTCTTCTTAAAATTCACATATCAAAGGTATTATTAATTCTTGACAAATTTAATTTTTGTGCTTCTTAAAAATTGGAAATATTGAGCTCATTATCTACTAAAAAAAATACAGAGCATATTAATTTTTGAGCCCGAGACATATTATTCTTCAAAAAGATAGTGTAGCTAATATCTAGAGTTTCTTAAGAATAACGATATGAATATAATTTTGCGAAAATGAATGTATATCACACATAAATTTTCGAAAATAAAATTGAACAAAACAAGAAAAAGAACCGAAAAAGATTTGAAAGCAATAAAGGGAATAATGCATATACTCCAGAAACAGTAGGGCCCTCAATAACCAGGAACGTTGTTCCCAAATTTCATCTTACCAAAACAAAAGAAAAGAAAAGAAAAATACAAAAATTTACAACTCTTCACTATCCTTAAATTTATAATATTTTTAAATTATATGTTTTGTTTAGAAATATTTAAATTACACATTTTTTTTTAAAGAAATACTCTCTATTATCCTAAAAATAAAAAGATTATTTTAATAAAATTTCGTTTAATATTTTAAAATCTCAAAATTTATAATAAAATTTAAAACTAGCCGTTAATAAAGAAAAGAATCGCATAGCGAAAAAAAATTATTCAGAAAATAGTCGTTCATCACATTCAAGGAAGCCAAAACACGGTCAATATTGATTTATTTAACCAAATAGAAAAGGATGTGTAACTATGAAATTTTTTTCAGTTATAGTAACTCGGTGGATCTAAGAGAAAAACGTAACTCACTAATTTTCATTTATTTATAGTTAATGTCAATAATGCGAATCATATTTATTTCTAATTTTTATATGAAATAGGATATTCTAATTATCAATTTTTTTTATCCACTCTACTCTCACTTGAATCACCATTAAATTATAGAAAAAATTGAATAAAAAAAGAAAAAAAAAATTCGGATCCAATGATAATTAAAATAGTATTAAAAAAAATTGATAATAAAAATATCTTACCTTTATTTTTTTACATATAAGTAGAGATAATTGAATTTACATAAGATTTGTTTCAACACAATTAAAAAGTGGCCCACATATTTTCAGTGGGCTCCACTCCTTAATTGTGTTTGTAGAAAACAAAATTTATCTTCAGTGACACTAGATTCGATTACCCTGTGTAAGTGATGTAAATAAGCAGTAACTACTACTTCAGATTTATTCTAATTCACAAGGAAAGCATGGAGTGACGTGAACACGTGGCACGCAATCATTGGTTAGACTTTTACCGATCATACATTTTGTCGTTGACTTGAATCAGAGTTGCTTACCCCACTCTCAGCACTTACAATTTTAAAATGCACTAAGCAATTTTTCTAGCCGTTGGAACTCTCTCTCTCTCTCTCTGTGTGTCCAAGGAATCCAAGAAGAAGAAGATCATACTCTTTGTTTTCACTCTCTTCAACCCATTTCAGAAAATCCAAAAACATTTCAAATTCTTTTTGTTTGGCAGATAATTTTATTGAAAAAGCTCACACAGAAAAAAAAAATGAAGGGGATGAAAGGAAAATTGCTGAAGAAGCTCAAATCAATCAAACCAATCGTATCTCTGAAGAAAGATCGAGTTCTTCAGGTGATGGCCTCAGATGGGTATATTGATTTTTTCCCAAAGATTTCAACTTTCAATCTACAGTCCCCCTTTGTTTCCCGAGAAAATGAGCCCAAGAAAATTGTCCAGGAGGAACCTGAGGTAATTGAGGTGTCAGAGCTCATGAGAGACCTAGAGCAAGATCAAGAAGAAGAAGAAGAAGAAGAAGACATGGATTTGGATGATTACAATGACAACAAAGAGAACATTGGGCCATGTTCACTGAAATCAAAACACCAACTTGGCCACAAAGGTATATCAGAAAACCGGGTCAGACTCAGAGAAGAAACAGAGTCAAAACAGAGTGGAATTTTGAAGGAAAAAATATCATCACCGACACCAAGAGCTGATAGTGACAGCAACACGTCGGAAACTGACATCTTGTCTTTCCGGCGGCCGGATTTAAATTCCGGCAGCCTATTCGATCCAAATCTGCTGGCTGCATTCGAGGAAGCTGTGAAGGAACATGCAAGAATCACAGACGAACAGAGAAGAGCCAGGGTTGAAGAAGAGCCCTCACAGAAAGAAAAAGATAATAATGATGATGACAATGATGATGATGATAGTGGTGGTGACCCTTTGGTGTTCTTTGAAGAGAAGTGTCCACCAGGGGGTGATGGAACTGTGATTTTCTACACAACAACTCTTACCGGAATCAGGAAGACATTTGAAGACTGCAACAAAATTCGTTTCCTCCTTCAGAGTTTTAGGGTTCTTTATTTAGAGAGGGACATATCAATGCACAAAGAGTACAGGGATGAGTTGTGGAGCACTATGGATGGGAAAACATTGCCACCAAGGCTTTTTGTTAAGGGAAGATACATAGGTGGAGCTGAAGAAGTTCTGAGTTTGCATGAGCAGGGAAAGCTGAGAAAACTCTTTGATGGGGTTCCAATGGATTGGTTCAATGGTCCATGTGATGCATGTGGTGGTATAAGGTTTGTGCTGTGCTTCAAATGTAATGGCAGCCACAAGGTCATTGCAGAAAATAAAGAGACCAATCAGTGCCCACAGTGTAATGAGAATGGCTTGATTGTATGTCCCTATTGCTGCTAGCTCAAGTTTATCAATTCATACTTGTTTTTCTATAAGATCTATCTATAGGAGTTTGTAAGTAACTGAATTTGTGGGAACTTTTTTCTTAAGGTATTATTGATCATTCTTTGTACTGGTTCTAGGACCAAATCTAAAATTATTATTCAAATTTCAGATTCAGTGTGCTTTTTCAATGTATCTATCTTTATACTTTAATAAAATGATTCTACCAGTTGAAAGGTAGGAATATACTAGAGCAACTGCTTCACACATAAACCAATGAAATGTTCTTTTCCTTTGCTGTGTGGGTTAAACTTAAGTCTCATAGGATATCTTTAAGGTGTATGGATATGCGTAACCAATATATGAGAAAAAAAGAAAATTACAATAACATAATCACCAACAAGCTTAGATCCTTGAAATATAAGAGTATTGCATTCTTTAAGAGATTTTAAGAGAATGAGAATCTTGATAATCTTTACTCCTTATCAACTAGTCATTGGAAACAGTTGCATGTTAATACCAGTTATCACATCAAAGTTGTAACACAAAATTTAAACTCTCCATCAATATTTTATTTTGAGAGGTAGATTATATTTATAATTTTTTTTCTCTTATATAACCTTTTATAATTACTTAGTTACCGGTCTCTCATTTGATTTTGCAACCGTTTGAACTATCTGTTACTATGTAAAGACATTAATTCATGAAACACAACAACGATTGCACATGAAACCTCTGCATTAAAGATTGTGCTAATTGTACCCCAAAAAAAACATTGCTCTAGAATTCTTATTATAGCAAATGATGGTAACTAAGATACATGTAGGGGTGAGAGTGTGTGTTTAATCCTCTCATTATCATCTTTGATAGAGGTTTAAAGGCTTCATTCTGGACCGTTCCGAATAGTATTGCCTCCCGAGAAAGATACATGTGGTTTATTAAAAAAAAAATTATTATTCATTCTTTCAAGTCAACAATTATATAGATAGTTTTTATTCAATTTATTTTAAAAATTATATTCACATTAAAAAAATTATGAGGTGAATTTGGCTCAAGTTGTCTACAACTCTACATAAAAATTATGTTCTTTTTTCAAAAAAAAGAAGAAGTAAGAAAGCTAATTTTATGTGAATTTAATTTAGTACCACTTTTATGCCTAAGGATGTTTTCGCGGTTACAAATTTACCATGTTCAATTTTATAAAATCATATTTAAATAAAAAATTTAAAAAAAGGGAAAAATAAAGACATGAAAATATGAGAAAAAAGGAACTAGTGTCAAGTATAGTTTAAGATTTTGTGTAAAGAAAATGATAAATTGGATTTTTAGGCTCAACCGATCTCCTAAAATTGTTTAGAGCTATAACAATTTGGATTGACTTAAAAAATAATAATGAAAAATATCAGATTTTAACTCAATGATGGTATGCTATCATTTTAATTAAGTTGGTTCATCTTTTTTTTAAGACCTTAGAATGCGATAATCTGTCCTGTCTTAGTTTATAATATTGAAAAAGAAATTAATTGAATTCGCTGATATAAAAATTAAACTCTAATATGAACATGAGATCCTAAAACTTAATTAGCACATGCACCATATTCAAAATTAATTAATCTATACCAAAAATCTTTTAATCAAATACTATAAAAAAAGAAGGTATGGATCTTCTCTGTATAACGTCAGAATCACAAATAAATGTTAATAATCTCTCATCTTTAATATACGGTTACATCTAAGAATAGTTTAATTTGCCTGCCTACATTTTAAAACTATCTCTTTGGACTGCTTCTCAATTTTACCTTGGTACCATCTCTCTTTTCGCTCAAAAGCTCAACATGTTGAAACATCAAAACCCTTTTGTTCTCTCATTTTCAGCATTGTTTTTCACATTCATTTGTCACTGTTATGCTACGCAATTCATAGTGGGGGATTCAGCAGGCTGGGTTATTCCACCATATCCTACATACTACAGTAATTGGTCACACTCCCAGTTCATAAGAGCAGGCGATTCTCTAGGTAAAAAGCCTTAGCAATATTCTTAAATTTGAAGGATTTTAACTTTTACTTTTGCTTTGATATATTTATATTAGCTATGAACATAATAGGAGATATAAACTCTTTGGTGGTTGATGCAACCCGTGGTTATCTTAGAATGGGCTTAAATTTAATCGGGTTTTTGGAATCGGCTTTCGAGATCAGTTTTAGTAAATTTTTATTTTATTTTTTCTTCAACAACCGTTTCATAATTTCTGTTATTTTTATTTTCCTTGTCTATTTAAGGGCAATGGGAACTTAGTTTATTAAGTAGTTTTTTATTGAATAAGAATATTATAGAATTATGATGTTACTTTGAATCTTCTTCTTCTTCTTTTTTTGAAAACTCGGTTACTTTGAATCTTTATTCATTTTGTTTAGCTAATTTCACGTAGGCTTCTAGATTAGTAGTTCTCCAATTTCTCATGGCTATAAGAGATCACTAGCTTCTTATATCTTTTGAATCTTTATGTATATATTAGCTTCATCAAGAAAATATCAAGCAGTAAGTAATTTTTTTAAGTTATTCAAAAGTATATTATTTCTAGTTTTCTGTTAGTCATTAGACTGCTGGAAATGTGAAGGTAATTATTTATTTATTAACATGCATTTCATATATGATATATTTGACATGCTTCTAAAAATTTGTATTTTATATTTGATAAATTGCAACAGTGTTTTCGAAATTATCTTTCAAAGAGTAAAGGTGAATTTGATTATAATTAACAAGTTAATTTGGGCTATTGAACACATGAATCTTGATCTTTTAAAAATGCACGAAACACTATATGGTAATTGCTTGTATTTACAAAACATGTATGCACACTGCTTTTATTATTGCTAAATTTACAATGATTGTTCTAAAGAATTTAGAAATGTTAACACAGAATTCGAGTTCGACCCCAAATTCTACAATCTAATTCAGGTATCACAGTATGAGTACGAGCATTGCACAGCATTTGAACCTCTAAAGGTATTCAACAATAGCCCAGCAATTCTTCCATTGAAGGAGAAAGGTATGTTATTCTTCACATGCACCATCTCAAACTATTGTTGTCTAGGTCAGAAGATTGCCATTTTTGTCCATGAACAAAATCCTCCATCACCACCACCATCACCTTCTCAACCACCAATCTCTCCACATTTATCACCAAATGGAAGTGCTCCTCAAGCTCATGGCATAAGTAACCCTCCAGCTACACCTACAATAAGTAATGTGTCCCCTTCTCCAGTGCCATCTTCCACTCAAGAGGAGAAGTCTAGTGCTGTGCCTTTGGTATGTGAGACAAGTTTCATTGTGTCTCTTGGTGCACTCTTATTTGTGCTTGGTACTTTCTTCTTGGGATTTTGGGTGATATAAGGGGGCATGATATATATATGCAGGGTGCATTTTAAGTTAGATTTGATTTCTAGTGATTTGGTTGGGTTTTGGTTTTTGAATTTCGAATCTCATTTAGTAGTTTTGTAATGGAATATTTGGATTTTCTTTCTTGCTTTACAATATTTGAAGACTTGGTACGATCTTGTGTTTTAAGTCCTTCAATGTACCTGAATATAAAGGTTTTAATGCTTTTCTTTAATTTTTTCTGGAAATGAAGCCTAATTTTAATATGTCATGTGGTGAATCTAGAATTTTATTGTTATAAGTCAGATTTCATTTCAATTCATAACATATAAAATTTTGGGAATTATATCCCTCATATTGTAGGAATCAAATTTTTGTGATCTTAAAAAAAAGATAAGGCTAATTTATTGAATAAAGTGCCCTCTCACTTTTTTTAACATGCACAAAAAATTTGGTTCTTATAACATGAGGGAAATAATTCCCTAAAATTTTATTGTTCTTTAGGATAATGACATGAATTTTGTTAAAATTTTATTGTTCTTTGGATAATGATATGAATTTTGTTACAGACGATGATTATTATATAAAAAATTAGAAAAGTTCAAAGGGAAAAAGAAAAAAGAAAAAAAAATTAGAAGACCAAAGATTGAGTTAGAACTGACTTTTATCTATGTCCAATCTTAAAAAGAAAATTTAAACAAAACAAAAGCACTATTGGTAGAGTATTTTTATAAAGTTGAAATAATAAAAATGATAAAAAGAAGTGAAAAAGAAGAAGAAAGCATTATGGCTGCAACGGCCATAAAGCTTTATAGCTATCATGTTTCAAAAAAAGAAAAACTTCATAGCTATCAAAGATGTAATTAATTAGCTGCCATTTTTACTCTTTCAGGCTTCGGTTTCCTGTTATTATGTCTTTCTTTTCAGCATTAACACAAAGCCCAACTGAAATACGTTAATGAGAAGTTTCAGTAATAAAACATATGTTTAATAATATTTAAGTTTCACTTCATCCATATATAGGCGAGTGAGCATATGTAAAGCATTGTACGAATAACAATAGGAAGTATATGCGTTGCGTGTAACATGTACTATCTAATGGCCGAATAAATGTGCTAATCCAAAAGGGGCAATTGTGATAAATAGTACTTTTGAGTAATCTACGTTTCACATTATTATTGTCACGTGATGATTATAAAAAATTATTTTGCAGAAACCTCCAGTAAAACACATGAAAAAGTAATTTGCACTTTGCACAAAACGATTTTTGTCGGATTTTACAAAGAAGAGTTTGAATTTTAAAAATTAGACTCAATATAAATAAATATTCTTAATTATATCGGATTCATATTATTTCGAATTAATTTAATCCAATCTAATACCTTAGGTTATTTTAAATAATTCTTTTTTATAATTAACAGAGACTTGGATAATTTATTTGCAAAAAACAATAAATAATATATTTATATTGGTATAATTGAGAACATATATTGTAAAAAATTTATTTTTAATTAATTTCTATCATGTAATTAAGGGTGACTAAAATTTGTTATTTGAGTATGAATAATAAATTGCACTCAACATTCAAGAGTCCCATCATATTCTTGCAGTGAGAAATAAAAATATAAACAACAATTTTATTACAAAATTCTTCACATCCTAATTCATCAAATTAACACACATCTTTGTGGGTTGCTACTACAGGTGTGTTCCTACAAACGGGGCATGAGGAATTGATTCTCAACCAAGGATCAACACACTTGACATGAAAGAAATGATCACAGCCAGGTAGCACTCTCAACAAATCAGAATCTTTGTAATCCATCAAGCATATGGAGCAACAACTACAACCAGAATTGATATCACACAATTTATTCCCTTTGGAGAATAATAAGAGACTTGGATTTGGATTTGGAGTCTGATCATCTATGCATGGCTGATGAGGTTCCTCCACAGTGATTGTAATAACATTGTCACCAACAGCCCCAGATGGAGTGGAAGAAACAACGGGCTTAATAGAACAAAGATAAGAGGCAACTGAAAAAAGAAGGGTTAGAATAATTAGGGAGAAGAAGAATAAGAGGGAATAACCTACTCTTTTAAGCTCTTCATCATCATGACTGTGCATGTCTCCCGAGGCACTTGCTAGATATATAGCGTATATTATATATACAAGAAAACGGTTTAGATTTGCATCTATATATGTGCGTTAATAACTATAATTATGTATTATTTAATTAGTTTATGCTTTTTTGGTATTAGAAAATCGATTGTGAAGTTACCTTGATGGTTACATTTTTCTGACGCTTTCCGTAATGGGAAATCTATTTCGTTAAGTGTTGAACGTTATTTTATATGTTTGAGTTTTGTCCTCTTAAAACAAATTTCTATGCGGATGATCCGTACGGTTGTATGTACCAATATCATAAGTTCCAAAGTTCAACAGTCTAGCTGATCTTCAACGCATCTAATTATTATATGGAAATATATTTTCCTTACTATATATATATATATATATATAGAAAAATTATACTCTTATGTCACATGAGATTCATCTCTTATGTTACACTCGCATAGAAAGATGTGCTTTTTTTTCTTTTTTTTTAAAATTGGTGGGTCTCACTTTATTTATCTTACAACATAAGATAACTTCTCTCATATTATATAAGAGAAGTAAAGCCCATATATATATGACAGAGAATTATTTGACACTAATGTCAAATTAAAAAATTTAATATCAAATTTTGATCGTTGATTTCCGTTAATCTAACGGCTATAATTTATTAAAAATTATTAAATGTAACACAATAAATTATAAATTAAATTTACGAAATCAATGGTTAAAATTTGATGTCAAGCCTTTTAGTTTGATATCGATGTCAAAGAATACTATATATATATATATAAATATATTAAAATTTCTCTCCATTATTCAAATCGGATTCAAGTTCAAATATGATGTTATTTGAAAAATTTGTGCAAGGCAATCACGAGATGTATTTAAAAAATTATTTTTCTAAGTTTTTATTTATTTATGCATAATTTTGTTTCATATTTTGCAAATATGATTTACAATATTAATAACAATCTTCATGGAAGTAGATAGTTTTCCATTTTCACAAATCTATATATAACATTTCTAAAAAGAAATGAAAAAGAAGAAGAAGATGGAATTGAGATTCAACATTTTTGCGAAATACGGTTCCGTATATTCTATATAATAACTATTTATTTAGTTTGTAAAATAACATAAATTTCTTTTGTATAATTTACAAATATTCTCAATCTACCTTATATGAAAAGTTGAATGGAATTTCCTATAGTTGTTGTGAGAAAAGAAATGACGGAAGGATCGTTCACCCCCTTTTTCTGTCTCCCGTATTTTAATTATGGGCTTGATATTTCTTATATTATAAGAGATAAAATTACTTTTTACACCTAAATAAAAATATATGGGGCTTATGTGAAGAAGAAAAAAGAGTCTGTATTCAATGTAGAATCGAGACACGATACGAAACGCAACACGAGACACGATACAAAATGCGACACGTTAATTTAAAAAATATTAGATTTTGATATTTTAGTGGCTTTAATATTTCTACAGTGAATGCAGATAAATTATCTGTATTTATTGTAGAAATGACGTTGTTGTGGATTGAAAGATTAAAAAATTATAATGATAAAGATTATTATAAACTTGAAATATATTATAATTACAAAAATACCTTGATTTTTGTCCCAAAACAATGTTGTTTTGGGCTCAATGGAGATAACTTATCTGCATTTACTGTATAAAAAATGAACTCATTTTTAATATATATATAAATATATATGAGATAGGATCATTTGATACCAGTGTCAAATTTGAAGTTTGACACCTCATCTGATAGCCGTTAGATAAAAAAAATCAATGATATCACATATTTACAAATCAGAGTCGATAGATCTTTTTTGATCTAATGACTCTCAGATAAGGTATCAAATTTCAAATTTGACACTGTTGTCAAATGATCCTACCTCTATATGTATATACAGAGAGAGAAAAAAAATTTCTCCAACAACTTGAGATAAGTTTATCTCCGGTCACCTTAAAACTACGTCGTTTTATTTTTTTTCTCTCTCTTCATTCATTACCATTGATCCATCTTTATACGGTTATGACTTATTAGCCGGAGATAAAATTATCTCCGGCAGCTTGAGAAACGATAAGCCCATATATATTATATATATCGTAAAATCATTTCTGCAGCCGCTTTACGTACAGCAACGACAGGTGTATGGTTATGATTCTCCACATTTAATGCTTTCATCCTTTGTATGGTTATGATTCTCTGCATTTAATGCTTTCAAGTATATATATGGCAAGTATTTGTTTGTTGCACGTACAGCAACTGCAGAAATGTAAACCCCTATATATATATATATATATATATATATATATATATATATATATATATATGGAAAAAATATTTCTCAAGCTGCTTGAGATAAGTTTATCTCCGGCCACCCAAAAACTACGTCGTTTTGATTATTTATTTCCTTATATTTATTGATTCACCTTTGAATGTTTATGATTCTTTTTTTCTCTCTCTCCATTTATCACCATTGATCTATCTTTGTACTGTTATGATTTAGTAACCGGAGATAAAGTTATCTCCGGCAGCTTGAGAAATGATAAGCCCATATATATTATATATATGGTAAAATCATTTCTGCAGCCGCTTTACGTACAGCAACGACAGGTGTATGGTTATGATTCTCCACATTTAATGCTTTCATCCTTTGTATGGTTATGATTCCCTGCATTTAATGCTTTCAAGTATATATATGGCAAGTATTTGTTTGTTGCACGTACAGCAACTGCAGAAATGTAAACCCATATATATATATATATATATATATATATATATATATATATATATATATGGAAAAAACATTTCTCAAGCTGTTTGAGATAAGTTTATCTCCGGCCACCCTAAAACTACGTCGTTTTGATTATTTATTTCCTTATATTTATTGATTCACCTTTGAATGGTTATGATTCCTTTTTTCTCTTTCTTCATTTATCACCATTGATCTATCTTTGTACGATTATGATTTAGTAGCCGGAGATAAAGTTATCTCCGGCAGCTTGAGAAATGATAAGCCCTATATATATATATATGTGTGTGTGTGTGCCACTTTAGATAAGATTATCTACAGTTATCCCAAAAACTACGTCGTTTTGATTAATGAATGGTGTTTATGTAATTTTAGGTGAATTAATGAAGGGTGTTTTCATAATTTTGTTAATTTTTTATCATGTACATTTTACTGAAACACCCTTCATTAATTCACCTAAAATTACAGAAACACCCTTCATTATTCAAAACGACGTTGTTTTTGAGGTAACTGTAGATAACATTATCTACCGTGGTTGTAGAAAAACAAATTCATATATATATGTGTGTGGGAAAAGTGTTTGTCATTTTAAATGACATAAAGTTATGTCATTTTAAGAGAGAGATAGACACAAAATAATTTTTTATTTAAAGTTAAAATTAAAATAAATCACTCACTTTTTCTCTCCCATGATTTCCATTTTTCTTATATCTCTCTCCTAAAATGACATAATTTCTGTCATTTAAAATGACAAACATCAAACTATATATATATATAATTCACAATAGGTAACATACTGATATGGTTAATCATCCTAAGTTCCCACCTCGTATATATACAAAATACTAGTCTTCCAGCTCAATAACACGAAAAATCTTTCAGTACTCCCCTTATAGGTACATCCATATTAAAACTTAAAAAAAATATAATGAAAATCATGAGCTAAAATGGAAAGAAATTTCCTTTTTTAATATTAAAGAAATTTCCCAATAACACATAAATAGGTGTGAAACCATTTTGGCCTATATCTCCTAATGTCCTCGAAGTCATCCATATCTTATACAGTAACCATCGCTGTTGCCGTCCAACGCACGCAAAAGAAAATGGCCCCTGAATGCTTATAAACTATAAAGAGAGAAAATAATCATTAACTAGGTAAGTTTTTTTTTTTTTTTTTTTTTTTTTTTTAACCAAGTAACAAGGTAAGTTCGTTGAATACGCCGCCACCAGTTTTGGGATTAGTCACCCGAGAAAAAGGTAAGAGAGCAGTTAGCATTTTTACCATCTGAAAATAATCAAGGAAGATTATATATATTCGAACATGATTTAATCTTAAGTAGTATTATAGTAAGGATTTTTTTTTTTTACATGTCAAAATTTCTAACACATCCGACTAATTTAATTTTGAATTTGAGCTGCTTCTCAAGAGTTATGACTATAGGAATTGAACTCATCATCATTTGAGCAGATCAAATTGTGGGGTTCAGCTGGGTTATTACTATCAACATCTCTTGGGTTAGAGTAAATTCTCTCAAGTTAAAATTTTATATAATCTAGTCATGCGAAATTTTTATATCTATTTTTTTTTTTATTAATGATAATTAGACTTCACTTATTTAATGCATATGAAAAAAGAGATAAATACAAAAATTTCACATGAACTCAGCATAAGAGGATCCACTATGCTTGGTTATATTGAGGACTCTTTTAAAAGATTAAAATTAGAGTAATATGATTGTGCTGATATAGGAAACTCAAACACTTTCCTGTAAAAACAAAAGTTTAGGAGAAAGAAAAAAATGGAGGTGAGAGAAAACTTTTTCATGGGCTCCATTTATGGGATGTTTATGCAGGAAATTAGTTTTATTTTAGTGTGATATGACAATCGAATTATCCTTAAAATTATAACTTTAAAATGATTCTATTTCTATAAATAAATAAATCTAGCTAAACATGCATATGCAGAAAGAGTGATTGGATTGAACCTCTTTTCTTTGTGAACATCTACACAACAGGGATAGTAGTGGATTCCCCAACATTGGAGGCACTAGAGCGAGGAGTTTGAACCAAAGATTTTCGACATATGGGACATGTGGAATGTAACCTGAGCCATGGATCAACACAATCATGATGGTAGAGATGGCCACAATCAGGAAGTAACCTCAACATGTCAGTTTCTTTGTAATCCCCTAAGCAGATGGAGCAGCTTGAATAACCATCTTTATTCTTCTCTACTTCTGAGTATAACAACTTGGGGTAGCTATCAAAACTTGTGTCAATATCATGATTATGATTATGACCTTGTTGCATATCTTCAACTAAGCCTAATTCTCCTGCTTGATGATGAGATGGTGAAATACCAGCCAAAACACTTAGTATGTTGGTGGTGCGAGTCATTCGAATTCGAAGCCTCACACACGCAAAAGCTATTGTGAAAATTGTGAACATTATCCCAACTACAAATGCTATGCCATATGTTATCCCACTTGCATCAATATCCCCGTTGTTGTTGTTGGTTCCCAAGGTTCCATTGATCATCTTCAATGAAATTTTAGAGTGGTATCGATTTGGAGGATGTATATAGAACCATAGTAATTAACGAAGTCACCAGATTTAATTAAGAATCTGGCTAGCTAGGCATTATATTTTGGTGGTCAACGTTTCTGTCCTTTTCGCATTCCATACATTAACCTTGTTCTTTTATTTTAATGTTATTTGTTGGTTGGCTTTTCTTTCTACGAGAAGTTTCAATGTGGGGTAGGGTAAAGGGACATGAGATGACAACGACTTTATGCAAACCTAAATTCTATAGATGTTTAATTATATGACAACTGTATATCGATACAATTGTTTCTGAATTATTATATATTTTAAAAATTAGAAGAATAATACATTAAAGCAGCCAAGATTAGAAGCCAAAAACATAATTCAAACTACTGATAGTAGATGTTGGACCATACTTATAATTAAAAATACCACAGTTGCGTGTACGGGACTGCGTGTTACAGGCTGAAACCAAACATTTAAAATCAGCTTTTGATGCTACAACATAGTCTATGATTGGGATGTCTTATTTTTAACTATTTCTTTTCTTTTTCATAAAGAGAAACTTAGCTAAATATAATTTTACAAATGCACTTGTTATAGAAAGAGCTTTTTGTTTAACTAAAAGTGTATATATTTTGTCAAGACAAATTGAATAGATTAAAATAATCAATAATCAATATATTATTACATATTACATAAAAAATTAATGGGTCTCCTTCACAAAAATATGGCATATATTTTGTTAAGACAAATTGGTCGGCAGACCCATAAGAAAACCTTTTTGTGTAGGTGTGATGATCCCTCTAGTATCTACTGCAATGAAATTTCTCCTTCACGAACAAGCCTATCCCGCGTCACAGCACACAAACCTTCCATACTATTCTAAGGCTTTGTCTGGGAATTAGTTTTAGGAGGGAAAAAAAAAGGAGAATTTTAATAAGTTTTTTCCTTGTTTGTGAGTTTGAAAAAAGGAGAAGAAAGAATGGGAGATTTTTACTAAACCCTCCAAAACTCTTTCTCTTCTTAAAATTAAAGTTTCCCCAATTTGGAGGGTTTAAGGAGAAAAATATTAGAAATTACTTATCTACCCTTAGCATTAAAATGTGAAAATTACATAAATATGAATCATTTTTAAATGTGACATTATTAAAACAGTCACAAATACCAACAAAATTTATCGGCGAAAAATATTTCGTAAAAAATAGTGATAAATTTTTTGATGAAAATCATATACGTCAAAATATTTCCGTCAAAACTAAAGATGAAATTAGAGACAAAACCAGATTTTGCCATAATCACTGACAAAAAAAATTTACGAAAAAAAATTCAGTCAAAATTATTGATAGAATCTAAATTCTGTCGAAACTTTCAATGAAAATATTTTCGTCCAAAATTTTGACCAAACACATTTTCGTCGTAAATTTTCGACGTAAAACAATTACGTCAAATTTTTTACAGAAAACGTTTACATCAAAATTTTCTACAAAAATTTTTGACGAAAAATATTTCCATCAAAATTTGTGACTAAAAATGTTTCTGTAAAAAAAATCGACGGGAATTTTTTTTTACGGAATCTAAATTTTGTCAAAACATTTCCCTCAAAATGTTTTACAAAAAAACATATTCATCAAAAATTTTGACGAAAAATATTTCCATCAAAATTTTCAACGTAACACATTTCTATCGAAAATTTTTGACTGAAAAAAATTTCATCAAAATTCTGTATAGAATTCAATTTCAGTCGAAATTTTTCGATAGAAACATTTTCGTTAAACTTTTTTGCAAAACAAATTTCGATCGAAATTTTTAACAAAACACATTTTCATCGAAAATTTCTGTTGAAAAATATTTTCGTCAATTTTTTTGATAAAAAACATTTCCATCAAATTTTTCAACAAAACACATTTATGTCAAAAAAATTTGACAAAAAATATTTTCGTAAAAAGTTTTGACGGAAAAAATATTCTGTCAAAATTCTGTTCAAAATCTAAATTTCGTAGAAAGTTTCGAATGAAATATTTCCATCAAAGGATTTTTTATCTCAAATCTCACAGCAACTACCCTAGTAACTGATGACTAAAGTCTGGCGATTAATATAATTTAAGAAACCCTAACCTTAGATTTCTTGAGATTTCAAATTGAACTTTTGGTGAAAGAGCATCAACCCATTAAAAATCTCCTTATATCCTTCATATCCTCTTTTAAAAGGTTTAAGGTAGCTACGAGTAGGGGTGTTCATCAACTGATTCAAACCACGGTGACCGAACCAAAAAATCGATAACCGAAAATCGAAAAACCGAAAACCGATTAAACACCGCAAATTTTAATTGGATTGGATCGGTTTTCGGATGGGTTAAAACCGATCCAATCCAAACCGATCCAATCCAAACCGATCCAATATATTAATTTCTCTCTACCTACTTGAATATTTCCCTAATCATAGTTTAAAAATTTCTAAACCCAAGACCCATTAACCCATCAACTAAACCCAAGAAAAAATCTAGTCATATCTCATCAACAAAATTTTATCTTTGTAGAGCTTCATATCTCATTGTCAAAATTAAAAAAATTATATTATAGTTTACTAATGCTTTTGTATTTCAAAAAAAAAATTACAAAGCCAATATATACAAAAGATGTTATTTGCACAATAATCATGAAATAAATTTTAGGATTTTCTCAAAAAACCGAAAACTGATCCAATCCAAACCAAAAAAAATTGGATTTGATCGGATTGGATTTGAAAAAAAATCAAAACCGAATGGATGATTATATGATCAAACCGAAAGAATTGAATCGGATAATTTTTGCTTCCAAAATCGATCCAATCCAGACCGCGAACACCCCTAGCTACGAGTGTGCAAACAATTTCGTGCAAAATCTACACAATAAGACAACAGGGGGGGGGGGGGGATTTAGAGGAGGCCAAGTTAAACGAAGATATTCACCTGTTCATGTAAAAGTAAATGGGTCTTATTGTGAAGAAAAAATAGAGAGAAAAAAAGTAATAGGATCCACTCACTTATATATATATATATATATATATATATATATATATATATATATATAAAAGAAAAAAATATTGTTTACAGTCAAAACAAAAATATTTAAATCATGTACACTTGCTTCTTTATTATATTTGTTTAAATTAAGGGTCGTATTAATCTTATGTCACTTGAAGTATTTTATCTTATGTTATAGAGACAAATTTTGTGGGATCCATTATTAAAAAAAAAAAAAAAAAAGATGGCACATTTGTCAAAAGCTACGTAGGAGAAAAAAATTTCTTTAAGTTATTTAAATTAAGGGTCTTCTTAATTTTATGTCACATGAGATGTTTTATTTTATATTATAGAGACAGATTTTGTGAGACCCACCATTTAAAAAAAATGACACATTTAAGGTTGTGCGGGAGAAGAAAAATTCTTCCAGCAACATGAGAGTCTAAAAGTCGTCAAATTAAATATTTTTATGAATTTATATATAAACACCTCTCTAATAATAAAATTAATATGGATTCTATAGAATTTCTAATATGATATTATTCGCCTAACTTTCCATCACTTTTTCTTTGAAGTTCCCTAAAGTTGGGAGCAGTACAATATCCTTTCCTTATGTATCATTTGTTTTTCAATAAAAAATTAAGTAACATAAGAACGTATCCTATCAAAATAAGGTATTTACTTAAATGATTCACATAATATAACACCAATTTAAATCATACATAGCATGTATTATTGAATATAATTTATAAAAGAATTTGGGATAACTTGATAAATATTGGAGATAATGCTCCCCCATCAAAACTGTTAATCTGTTATACAATACTTTTGTGGTCCCTCTAACTTGACAAATTTAAGTGTAATAAAAAAAAAATTTACAGCAAAACAGAAATATTTTTCCTTTTTAATATATAGACGAGTTGATGGGATGGAGTAAGATGAGTTAAAAAAATGAGTTTGGACAAGTATATTCATTTTGAGACTAATTAGAGGCGGAATATATTACCCTTTTTTTTCACTTATTTTTGTAATTCTATTATTATTGTGTGTAAATAAAAAATATATATATGTCTTTCATGTTATAATTATATGGTTTCACTCACTTTTTCGTATTTTTTTTAAACTTGTATATTATATAAGATAAAATTATCTTATATAATATGATAAATATATTGTGCAAATAAAAACATCCTAAAAAAGATTCTAGTGGTGAAATGCTTCAACAACCAGAAAAAAAAAACATAGCTTCAAATTGTTAAAATTGTATAGGAATCTGTCAAATGAGATAAGGTTAATTATTGGGTGCGAGCCTATCATGTGATATTTTTTAATTTTGCTTTAATCTCGTGCTAATCAAAGAAAGAGAAATGTTAATACTATATTTTTTCTATGTATTCTTTAATTTGTATTAATTTTATTAATAAGTACTAAATTTAAATTATTTCATGAGATTAATGTATAATTTTATTTAATAATAAAGAAAATATTAAAAAAATGTCACATATATTTTTCGTGAAAGAAATTATCACATATTATCAACTTTAAATACGGTTTTTTAAAAATTTATAGGTATTTATGTGTAAGCGGATATGATACTTGATTTATATCATATTATTTAACAAATTAATTTCCAATAAAAAATAAAGGAAAAAAAGTTTCCGATGTTACTTTAAATAACTTTATCTAATGTTCATCGAAACGACGTCGTTTTGGAGTTGAAAAATTAAAAAATTAGAGTGATAAAGATTATTATAACCCTGAAATAAATTAAAATTATAAAAATACCATGATTTCCGTCTCAAAACGACATCATTTTGATGAACATTAAATAAAGTTATCTAAAGTAATATCGGAAAAATAAACCCAAAAATAAATGTGTGTAAAGAAGAAACTAAACTAAGTGGTGAGGAACAAAACCAAGGAATTTATTTGTTTCCGCCATGTCAGTGATAAGCTTGGCGTCACTAGGAAACGCTGACTTGTCCGAGATAAAAGGAAGCATTTGAATTTTTCAAAGTTCTGAATGTCAATGTCAATAATA